TCACCGTTAGTCCCACGAAGAAGAAAAGACAACGGTCAAGATGGACCAAGGGACGACCAAGACACTGGAACCCGGATCGCCAGTGATTAAGAAGGATCTGAGGATCTGAGGACCTGCATAGCCCGGGGAGGAGCTCTGCTATTGAGGTCAAGGTGGAATATGATGAAAAACCAACCACAAAATCCTCCCCCTTACGTCTTCGTTTAAGAAGACAACATGGGCCATAATAAATTTTATGGTCCAGGGGTCCCAAGTTTGACAGCGAAATCTTACAAACAATGGACCCCGAAACAATTCTTCCAAACTGCCAACGGTGCCCAAGGACACGAAGAAGAAACAGAATCGATTTGAAGCAATGCGAAGTCACGATGAGTAGAGGGGAGAGTTCATCTTGGGAAGGCCAAGATGATGCAAGAAGGAGGCGGTATTTGTTCTACATTTACGAATGGGTCAGGTTACAGATTCGAGAGTGCGGCAGCACAGAAGAAAATGCGAAGTATTGTGCAGCCCCGAAGGCTCAAGGCCCCGAGGGTCCAGGGCCTGAGGATACAGAGCCCCACTCGGACGAGGATCAGTATATAAAATTGAAGTGACTATGGAGAAGCATTGAAATGAAATGACCACATGGACATTTACTGCTATTCCAAAAGGACAGGACAAGGGTGCACGTGGGCTTGTCGCAGTTCGGAAGACCAGCGCACAGGGGACAACTGTGGTGAAGTGCCAGGAGAATCGGGGCCCAGGGTACCAAGGGCCCAGGGTACAAGGGCCCAGGCCTCGCAAGGTCCCAAGGTTCAATCGAGGGTCGCCAGGGACAGGGTTTCCAGTCACCAGGGAGTTGTGGTGGAGTGGATTCTCAAACGACGTGAGAGAACCACAAACACACACAGCGCCGGACTGCCGACTTACGGAGGGGGTACCCCGATACCGTGTCGCGTCAACCTTGGGTCTCACCTTGTGTACCCGTCGGCTTGGCTGGTCTTGCTCCTCGTTAGACGCAGAAGACTTAAAGACTTGGTCTTGTATGGAGGGACTTGGGGGCCACGAGTGGATATGCTTCACTCGGGCCCAGGGTTTCTTGGGCTCAATCGACTGGGTCGAGAGCAGTGCACCTGGTACTATGTACCCCTTCGGTGGCTAACGGTTTCTTGGTCTTTCGACCCCTTTTCTTGTTCCCCGTAGGGAAACCGCTTCCTATAGCGGGTCGTAGAATGGGTACGAACCCACAGGCCAAAATACTTCCTGGGGTTCGTTCGAGCTTGAATCTTACCACACGTCTGTCTTCAACGGGGGGGGCCAAAATAAATCCCTCCCCCGGAACAGGTAGGTAGATCGAAACAAGCTCGCACTTGAGTCTTGACACTAACTTGACACCTCAGGCCAACTATCCTGAGGTTCAACTTGCGTTGCTTGAGCCGTCACCTCACCTGACGTCGGTGGGCCAAAGGGTATCCCGCCCGGAATAGGTGAGGTGACGGAGAAGCTTGAAGGAGGCGCTTGGAGCTGCCACGTGTAATGCAAATTCGAGTGTGTTTATTTGCCTTATACTTTGTATGCTTTTCTTGCCAAACCCTAACCCTTCGCTCTGGATGGTACCACGTGTCGACTCTTGGAGGAAGAACAACTGACTCTTTTAGGACATGGGACTTGTACCGGCTCTGCACTTTAAGGAAGCCTTGTGCCTTCTATTCCCTGGGGTCCACCGGTCACCTGGGTCCACCGGTCACCTGGGTCCACCGGTCACCTAGGTCCACCGGTCACCTGGGTCCACCTGTTGTCTGGGGTCCACCTGTCACGGGGGGCCCACCTGTCACCTGGGGTCCACTGGACCTGGGGTCAACCTGTCGCCGGGGGTCCACCTGTTACCGGGGGTCCACCTGTCGCGGGGGTCCACCTGTCACCTGGGGTCCACTGGCCACCTGGGTCAATCTGTCACCTGGGTCAACCTGTCACTGGGGGGTCAATCTGTTACCTGGGGTCCACCGGTCACCTGGGTCCAACAGTCACCTGGGTCCACCTATCGCCTGGGGTCCACCTGTCACATGGGACCCACCAGTTGCCTGGGGTCCACTGGTCACCTGGGTCCACCGGTCACCTGGGTCATCCTGTCACCTGGGGTCCACCGGTCACCTGGGTCCACCTGTTGTCTGGGACCCACCTGTTACCTGGGGTCCACCTAAGCTGCCCTAGCAGCACTAGTCCTTTGGTCTGTAGCGTAGGACATCCTAGTACCTTCTCCGAACTCGGGACCTTGGACCAGTTCGGGGCCCTGGTCACTCCCTGTCACTCATTCAAGAGAGTGACCGAGATCTTTCACGCCAGTTATTATAATAACTTCGAAGGCCCCCCATTTCTCTGGCACTTCTCCACAGCTGGGCCCCGGTACCCCGGTACCCCTGGGCCCCGTTACCCTGGTACCCTGGTACCCCGGTACCCCTGGGCCCCGTTACCCTGGTACCCTGGGACCCTGGTACCCTGGGACCCTGGTACCCTGGTACCCTGGGACCCTGGTACCCTGGTACCCTGGGACCCTGGTACCCTGGGCCCCGTTACCCTGGTACCCCGGGCCTCTGGGCCTCGGTATCCTGGGCCCTGTACCCTGGGCCCTGTACCCTGTACCCTGGGCCTCGGTACTCCGGTACCCTGCACCCTGTACCCAGGTCCCTGATACCCTGGTCTCTTGTACCGTGGGCCCTTGGAGCCTGTACTGTCTCTGCACGTAGAAATACCTTGTACCTTCTTTGAACTTAGGACCTTGGACCACCTCGGGGCACTGGACCCTTCGAATCCTAGTGTGCGCCCGGTAGGGTAACCTTGTACCTTTGACCCTGGACGTTCGATACCCCTGTCTCCGATAGCTGGTACCCCTGTCCCTGGTGCCCTGTCCCTGGTGATTGGAAACCTTGTCCCTGGTTACTAGAAACCCGCGTCCCTGGTGACTGGTACCCCTGTCCCTGGTGACCCTCGGTTGAACCTTGGAACCTTGCGAGGCCTGGGTTCTTGTACTCTGGTACCCTAGTCTCTTGTACCGTGGGCCCTTGGACCTTGGATCCTGTACTGTCTCTGCACGTAGAAATACCTTGTACCTTCTTTGAACTTAGGACCCTGGACCACCTCGGGGCACTGGACCTTTCGAATCCTAGTGTGCGCCCGGTAGGGTAACCTTGTACCTTTGACTCTGGACGTTCGATACCCCTGTCTCCGATAGCTGGTACCCCTGTACCTGGTGCCCTGTCCCTGGTGATTGGAAACCTTGTCCCTGGTTACTAGAAACCCTGTCCCCGGTAACTGGTATCCCTGTCCCCGGTAACTGAAAACCCTGTCCCTGGTGACTAGTACTCCGGTCCCTGGTGACTGGAAACCCTGTCCCTGGTGACCCTCGATTGAACCTTGGGACCTTGCGAGGCCTGGTCCCTTGTACCCTGGGGCCCCTGTACCCTGGGGCCTTGGTACCCTGGGCCCCGATTCTCCTGGCACTTCACCACAGGTACAAGGTTGCCCTACCGTGCGCACACCAGGACCCGAAAGGGCCAGTGCCCCGAGGTGGTCCAGGGTCCTAAGATCAAAGAAGGTACAAGGTATTTCAACGTGCAGAGCCATTACAGGCTCCAAGGTCCAAGGGCCCACGGTACAAGAGACTAGGGTACCAGGGTACAAGAACTCAGGCCTCGCAAGGTTCCAAGGTTCAATTGAGAATCACCAGGGACAGGGGTACCAGTCACCAGGGACGCGGGTTCCAAGTCACCAGGGACAGGGTTTTCAGTCACCAGGGACAGGTCACCAGGAAAAGGGGTACCAGCTACCGGGGACAGGGGTACCAGTCACCGGGGACAAGGGTACCAGTCACCGGGGACAGGGGTATCGAACGTCCAGGGTCAAAGGTACAAGGTTGCCCTACCGTGCGCACACCAGGACCCGAAAGGGCCAGTGCCCCGAGGTGGTCCAGGGTCCTAAGATCAAAGAAGGTACAAGGTATTTCAACGTGCAGAGCCATTACAGGCTCCAAGGTCCAAGGGCCCACGGTACAAGAGACCAGGGTACCAGGGTACAAGAACTCAGGCCTCGCAAGGTTCCAAGGTTCAATTGAGAATCACCAGGGACAGGGGGTACCAGGGCCCAATGCCCGTGGGTGCAGAATCGGTTCACAGAATATCGAAGATCACAGAAAGTACAGGTACCAAGGAGCCAGTTCTTCCTCCAAGAGTCGACACGTGGCACTATCCAGATCAAAGGGTTAGGGTCAGGCAAGAAAAAGCATACAAAGTATAAGGAAAATAAACACACTCGAATTTGCATTACACGTGGCAGCTCCAAGCGCCTCCTTCAAGCTTCTCCGTCACCTCACCTATTCCGGGCGGGATACCCTTTGGCCCACCGACGTCAGGTGAGGTGACGGCTCAAGCAACGCAAGTTGAACCTCAGGATAGTTGGCCTGAGGTGTCAAGTTAGTGTCAAGACTCAAGTGCGAGCTTGTTTCGATCTACCTACCTGTTCCGGGGGAGGGATTTATTTTGGCCCCCCCGTTGAAGACAGACGTGTGGTAAGATTCAAGCTCGAACGAACCCCAGGAAGTATTTTGGCCTGTGGGTTCGTACCCATTCTACGACCCGCTATAGGAAGCGGTTTCCCTACGGGGAACAAGAAAAGGGGTCTAAAGACCAAGAAACCGTTAGCCACCGAAGGGGTACATGGGTGACTCATTCTTCGCGTCTGTGGAGTCTTCATCAGCAGAGTAAAAATTTAAGGTTTTTTTACATTAAAGGCAATTCAGGCAGCCGCGTGAGCGACCCTGCTGTTTTTGGACGGATATCCCGGAAGAAAGCGAAGCGTCGAGCAATCAAAGGCCCCCATATACTCGACAATTGGGAGGTTACGTCGATGTAATTAGTCGATCTAAACGCCTTACTATTTTTATCATATTTGTACTATCAATGCATTATCATGGGATAAATAAATCTGACTGTCAAGTGGTTGGGTTTCCAGAGTACATGATTCGTCCATTAAATAGAAAATGCATCACATGGAACAAGGGACACCAAGCTAAATACCCGTTGAAACATGCTCTCGTCGCCGAGACTTGAATCCTGGCAGTTGCTTATAACTTGGCTTGCATTGTCGCCGATTCTCACTACAGAACACACCAACTTTGCTTCAAACTTCTGGTTTGCATCTTCGACGAGAGCGTTAAGTAGCGATGCCACAGCAGATGCCGCATCAAACTGAGAGTTTAGCGAAGCATTGTGTTGAGCCTCGATTAGAACTCGAGCCTCAATATTTCCTACTATTTCCAAAGTCGCCTGATTGTCAGCTCTAACATGCAGTCGTTGGTTCCGAGGATCACGCAAAAGTATTGAAAAACAGCGATACCGCCAGGCACATAAAGCGTTGTCAGCGCTACTTCGACGAGTCATGCATCGATTTGCGCAAGCTACAAAGTGACTTTGAGCTTTGCGGTCTTGACAAGGAGATTCAGGAAGTGCTTGGTTGCACCCAGTACAATATCGTTCCGCCAAATGCGAAGCAAATCTTGCCAATACAGTTGCTGCATGACCAAAATGACGGCCCAAGCATACTTGCTCGATACGAACGTTTTTCAAGGTAGCCAGGCCTTCAAACAAGGAGCCTGTGAGCTCTTCTAGGGTAGAAAAAGATGTTGGGCCGGTAGGTGCAGTGAATGTTGTACTTCCTTGGAAAACAATCCTAGAACGAGCAATTTTGTTTTCCAAATCGATTGAATCTGGGCCATCTGGGTCCAATAGCCGAAACGTCGTGTGCGGTGTTGTGTTTGCCAGCAACCTATTTGATAAAGCATGAAGACTCACAACGATGCCATCGATCTCTACTGCACCACGATGCTCAAGCAACTTTGCAACAAATCGTTTCTCAGCATGCTGATCACAAAGGTACAAAGACATCCCATCTCCCGCAGAGTCAAACATGACTAGCTCACACAGCAGCACGCCATCCAGCTCTGAGCAAACACCTGTTCCTCCTCCAGGAGCTGCAGCTGATTTATTCTTTTTAGGTCGCAATTTGCAAAGAACTGACACGACCATATTCTCACGCAAGTCCTGAAGTGTCGACCTGTCCTTCGTCTTCTTTACTGCAGCAGATGTCGTTCTCTCATCCTCAGCACTGAATTTACGACGGTATTGCTTAACCCATTCAATCATTGGATACAATTCCCGCAATGGAACATCTTGTGCACTAAAGTATCGGTCCTTCCTGTACAATAATTGGACCGTCGATGAAGTCGCCGCATCATTGTTGCGCACAATAAACTGCGCCTCCACGTTGCCCCGATAGATTTGTATGCGACAGAATGAGAATAGCACAATGTCTCCATCTTGAAGCACTGCATCAGTTCTTGACATTTGCATGAGGCCTACGTTTTGTTCCGGTTCCGATGTGAACGACGAATGTATCAATTCAGGTGGTGCATCTCCCCAGCATGTGATCTTGAAAAACTGTCGACTGGCATCACACACGTGCAATACATGACAAGGTAGAACTCTCTGACGCGCTATTAACACTCTTTTGCCAGTAGAAATCTGTTGTACGGCCGCGATGAAGCGCACATTCTGTCCTACATGCGCTACCGCCTCGCTCAACGTGATAACGTCCATTGTCATGTTTCTACGTGTCTGATAGGTCAAAATTTTGATGTTGAAGTACAAGCTTGTAACCAATCAACAACAGATAAAAAGATCGCGTCTCTGACCAATCTGATTCTCAGTAAGTTTCTACTTCACATTTAAGTAAATTTTAACGATGCTGAGTATGCTCCGAGGTGCTGCTGATGTCAACACCACTGCCTCGCTGCAGGTGGCAGTAGATCTCGTGTACACTATCGCCGCTCCATGTGATTCAGTTACAGTGCTTGCGAGCTCTAGCGACGCGCTGACGACAAGTTTGCTGCCAGCTAGCGCAGTATTCCGGGGCAAGATGCAGATAACCAAGGCTGCTAGTAATGACGGTTGTACACTGGATCTGACCATAAATGGCACTATCTCTGCTACAGCCACCGACTTTCAGGATGCCTTTGATGTGGCGCGTTATGTGCATCAACAAGTAATGGAGCGACTGAGCTCCAAAGACCTCAAGAACGTCGCACTAACACAAGCAACAGTGGCTCTAGATGGTAACAAGCTCCTGACAGTGTCTCTGATGGCTGAAGACTCAGACGCAGCGTCTGGTAGTGTTTTAACAGTACAAAAAGGAGCTTGCAAGGAGCTGTTGGACACTTTACAAGGCGAAAAAGATAATGACATGCTGTTGCCGAGAAATGTAGAGACCAGCACCTTGAAAATTACCAAGCTGACCATCGAAGATGAGACTGCAAACTGTGTTGTGGCTTTAAACATTTCTGCACTTGTCCCGCGTATTAATGCTGACGCTGAGGCGTTCCAGCTGCTGAAGACTGTGGATGAGAAGATGGAAACTTTCTTTGCTGGACGATCCAGTGCGGCGCTTGCCAGTGCCAATGTGCGACTGCATATAAAGTCGACCGAAGAGAGTATGGCACTGAATTATGCTGTGAAGAAGGGAAGTGTAAACACAGCCTCTTCAACGAATATGACGCTTAACTTACCGTCGTCTGAGGAGGCATTGGGCATTTTTGCTCTTCTTGCTATGCTCGTGGCCATGATGATGGGTGTGGTGGTTCTAAAGAAGCGTAATGATCGTCGGAGTCGCCAGCGTTATGAGCGTGCAAACCAAGCCGCGCAGATCCGTCGTGTGTCCATTCGTATGAGTAAGTATGATCAAAATGAGGATCAAGACTACGAAGGCGAAGAAGACACTCTGCTATAGGTAAGTGCCGGCAGCAAACGTTGTTTGGGCATCGCACAGTGCACAGCGAGTGGCACTGTCGGGAGCACAAATTTTATGAATCCGGGCATTTCACGCAAAAGCTACGAGCCTAGTGTGTCCATGTCGGACCCAAATGCATATTGAAGACCAACGATATTAAACATAATATCGGCATTTATGTGTATGTGGAGACTACAAGTACATGTTTACTTGAGTCAATACTTTTGCAAAAGGTTTTTATCAGTTCGTTCATTGTCGTGAATGTTGATATTGCATTTCGGTGGCTACAACCATTTCTTGCCCTTCGTCCTCTGAGGCTGGCGGACTGGTTGTTGCGTCTGTTCTTCATGTGGTACATAAGCTCTCCATGAGATATGCTTTCGTGACGACGCCAGCCTGGGACACCTCAGTTTTAAAAATGACACTGGAAGAATCTCTCCATTGCGTGTTGCAAGACACGAGCTCGCACTTGTACTCGTCTGTCTCTTCCCCAGCGCCTTTCAACACAACGCTGGTCACATTGCTAATAGTCGAGCCTCCGCTCACCACAAGGCACACCTGACCATTACGTATCATATCCCAATACTTTGCTCGAAGCTGTCAATGTTCAAAAGGTGTTAGGTCTTTGTCGGGGATTCAGAAAGATAATTGCCACTAACCTGCTCGGGGACTCCTACACACGAGGCTGCCTGTTCGTCATTTCTTTTTTCTTGAGTACCCAAAGCTGTCCAATAAAGCGAGTGACCCGAAAATACCACAGTGCCTCGAGCACACAGTTTCCCATTTTCTAGCTCTTTCTTCATCCATTCTAACAAAGACACGTTTAGCATCATTTACATTGTGCATGAAAGTGTAGCATAAGGAAACGTAGGCTCCGATCACTCACCAGTCTGTGCTGTAACTTCCTCTGAAAATTCTTGTTCACGACAGAGTGTCGTAGTGTTGGCAACAATACACTTTATCCCGCCGAACCTACAATGACAAAATGATAGGTTAGTCATGTAACCAAAAACATTGTTTACAGAGTGTTCTCACCAAAAGCTGAATCGAGTGTCACCGAAGTTTTCTTGGTATTTATTCATTTCATCTGGTGTGTCAAATTCGTCTAGCCCTGCAACAAAAACCTATGGCATTGGGAATGAGCTTTACGAGAGAGAGAAAGAGGATTTACACCAGAACATACCAGGCGAATTTGGGGTATAATTTGATTGAGCAGCTCTTGGAATGCTGTGACTTGAGCATCATAATATGTTTGACTCGGCTTCGAGTAAACAAACCCTCCGCATATCACAACAAATGCCGGTCGTTGCGAGTTCAAAACATCAATCGCTTTGAGGAACGCTTTCGATTCTGCTTTCCACGTTGAGCCTCCTTGGTTGTCTGCTTCAGCCAAGGCGGTTGCCTGGCCTAGCTTCGGTCCAGACAACTAGTACAGAGACATGCAAGAAGCAGCATGACATCGGATACGTAAATTACACTTGCGTATATCAATACTGATAAGCTTTTTCCACCAACCTGTATGAAAGAGAAATTGTCGCTCCATTGACTTTGAAGATCGTGTGTAAATCCTACGTATCCTCGATTGCTGGCGTACAAGCACCGGCCGCGGCTACTCGAGCTAAAGAAGCGAGGGTATATAGCTAAATGAGAAAACGGTGTTAGCAAGCCATCCATCCTGTGTGCCGTTCTTTGCTGTTCGCGTACCTGGTAGGTGCAACATATGTCTACGTCGAAGAATGTGCATGACTATACTCCTGTCACGTGGCGAAAGCGCATTCACTTGGTCCTGTATCACTCCACTAAAGTCTAGTGGGTGACGGACATTACGAGACTTTTCCGCACCACCGAGGCTGGTTATGAGTGGGAAAAACTCAGATCCACAAAATCGCGATAAGGGCATTGTTGCTTGCGTATGATTGTCGAAATCAATGCCTTTGAAGAAGGGGTGTGCTATGCAGTTACAAAAGTACGCATCTGGATCAGAATATAGCAACAAACCAGCAAGCGATAAGTACTCACCTTTGACTGCACTCATTGCGTTCGATCGAGTGCCACCGAGGCGCTCCGTAGGATCTTTCTGAAGTAGTTTGCTGATCAGGTCGCGAGCTTCGGGAGAGAGGTAGTCCGGCACAGAGTAACTTCCGGCCTTGACGCGCAGGAAAGTAAGATAAGCACTTCCTCCGCTAAATGGTGTCTCTCCTGTCAAAAGCTGGTAGACGATGCAGCCAAATGCCCATATGTCACTTGCATAGGTCGGTTTCTTATTGTCTATTGTCTCAGGGGACATATACTCAGGCGTGCCAACAAAATTTGGTCCGTCGAGCTTCTTATCGACCAGGTTTTTAGCCGTACCGAAATCAATGAGCTTTAAATGTCCACCTGAAGCTTTACAAGTTACCATATTCTCCGGTTTCAAGTCACGATGGAGCACTTGGTTCGCGTGCATGTACTCAATTGCATTCACGACGTCGGCCAGGTAGAAACGTGCAAGATCTTCGTCAAGACCCAATTGTTGACCTTCATGCAGCAGGTGACTAAGCAGCTCGCCGCCATTCAGTAGCTCCAGTAAGAAATACAGATTAGTTTTGTCTTGAAATGTCTGGTACAGACGAATGATGTTGGGGTGACGCAGTCGATTCAGTACGTCTTTCTCCATGTTGATCTCATTGTAAATGTTCCGGTGACGGAGTCGCAGCCGTTTAATGCGCTGCTTTTCAATTACTTTTAGTGCAAATTGCTCGCCCGTTGCTTTGTGTTTGACTTCAATGATGCGTGAGAAATTGCCTTCGCCTAGAGGTTTGCCTTGCACGAACTCGTCGATGCTGGGCTTCTCCAGCGCGTCTTTTGCTGTGGCATATCAAAATAGATAGCACTTGTCAGAATCCGCAGTCATCAGATACAAATATACACAAATAATGATAGATTCATGATGGACGCACGACTGATCGTCATCTCTTGAGTAAGTATCGCCGTAATGACGGTTTTTAACGTTATGTACATCGATATTAGCGTTTACCACACCTATTTATGATCCTTCAACACCATGTTTAGTGGCTACATTAAAGCCCCTTTTTCTTACGTTACGTAAGGAGAAAACGCCGAGCCGCCGCCTCATCTTCTTGCACCTCTTGTCATTGCTAGGACGACTACTCTAGCAAAAAAATTGCGTGAAGGTACAGAGTGCATCTCTTTCATTCACTATCTTGCTTTCTGCGTCCTGTCACCTTTTTTCTCTCGATAAATGGCCACGTTTTTCCGCCTTCTTTTGCGTCATCCGAGCGAAATGTAGCGATTTAATGTGTGCCGCGTAAAAAGACAAGTGGCCTTGGGGGACAGAGTGGTGTCATACCGGTAACTTGTGTCCTTAGAAAGCTCACTACAAATTTGTGCTACAGATTTGTAAAGTTTCATGATGGCTCGTCATGAAAACCCCTTTGACATGCAGATTAAGCTGTTGATGATCGGCGATAGTGGTGCGTGCAAAAGGCATTGAATTGGCAACGCAACGCAGCGTTAGTTATTATTTTCATCTTGAGCTTTGAACGTGAACGTTAAATTTCTTTTGATGTAACTGATCCTTGCAGGGGTCGGGAAGACGTGTTTGCTGCTGCGCTACGCGAATGACTCATTCTCTCCAACGTTTATCACGACCATTGGCATTGATTTCAAGATCAAAAACATAGAGCTGGACAACAAGAAGGTCAAGCTACAGATCTGGGACACAGCTGGCCAGGAGCGTTTTCGTACCATTACGACGTCGTACTTCCGCGGCGCGCAGGGTATTTTATTGGTCTATGACGTCACAGATCGTGCGTCCTTCCAGAGCATCCGAAACTGGGTAGGTCAGATCCAGCAGCACGCCGACGTGCACGTAAATAAAATTCTCATTGGCAACAAGTGCGATATGACGGATGACAAGGTCGTAAGCACAGAGGAGGGTCAGGCATTAGCGGACGAGTATGGTGTAAAGTTTTTTGAGACGAGTGCGAAGAACAACATTAATGTGGAAGGAGGCTTTATCGAGATCGCACGCGAAGTGAAGAACAGACTTATGGAAGAAGGTGGACCCCACAAAAAGGACAACGTCAACCTTAATGCAAAAGCAGCACCTGTGAAGAAGGGCTGTTGCTAAACCTCACAGTCAGTTTGCTGGGGCGCGGTAGTGCTGTCCTTCATATATACATGTTATCTTACTATAGCTAACTTCCACTTAACTACCTTTTCAGTACTGTAAGCATCTCCTGTGCTGAAGACCTATAACTTTCAAGAACTTGTTCACTTATCTCCATCGTGTTGATACATGTCATATGAAGTAACACACCAATTGCAGTCTAGGACTTCCGCATCACGACCGCATAGCATCGGAGCAAACATTCCACACAGCAGTTCTTTGCATGCTAAAAATAGACCCTCTGGTGGCCAAACAACGACAGCGCCAAGTCCCGTCAGGGTATCGTAGATACATGCCTTGCCGTCGGAGTCATATGACATAGCAAGGTCAATCACATTGTTGGCCTTCTCCGCCCACAATGTGAGACGTTAGGTAGTTATGCAGTGTGGTTCCCGATGCAACGAAACAGGCGCCATTGCGGGTAGCCCATAGCCTTGCGGTAGAATTCAGGAACAGTGACAATACGCTTGGTCTTAGCAGAGTCGAACGCCAGACATTGCACATCCGCAAAATAGACGGGGACGTGTAAGTCGCAAGCTTTCAGTCATGATATCCCCGGCGGCAGGTCCGTCGATTATGTAGCTTCCATCACCATCGTTGCTGCTAGGTCCAGAAGCAACACAGAGCCCACGACCTTTCCTGAATAACCCCGAGGGACTCCAGTACGCTGTTCGTTTGTATGTTCCATAGTCGACTAGTTTTGCTGAATGATCCAGAAGCGAGCATGGGACAAGCTGAAGAACAAAGCAAACACTCGTCAGCATATGCAACTAACAATCTCGCAGTCCAACGTCAGCATATTATTGCGCAGAGATTGCTGAAGAGTCAGGTTATTAATCAAGAATCTTCGTGACGGCCACTGATACTAAGACGATGAGCCGACATGTCGAGCGAATCGAATGGTTGAACAATGTAATTGTCTTGTTAAAGCTGCTTGTACTTGAAAAGCACTGCTTTGCTCACGTACTTGATCTTATTCACTAGTTCTTGTAAACAACCGTTCCTAGTCCATAAGTTATTTGCAACCACGGACTAAAAGGCCGATAAGATGATGCAATCGAGCTTCTGATGCCTGTTTTACCATTTGGTTCGGTGTAATCAACTCGTAGCGCGGTCAATAGTACTATCTATATAACTGGTAGAACAGCATGGACACTAGAGCCGGTCATAAGCGTCACCTATTGGTTACACTTGACACGGATGATGTGGTACATATTCAAATGTTATCTCTATCGAGTCATTCTTGATTAAGTTGACGTCAAAACAAATTATCTAATCTTTTATCGCAAAACATCTCGTCGATTACGTCCCTTTGAGGATGAGCGGAGCGTCGTCTTCTCCTCGCTCCGTAAATTCCGACGCTTCCACGTCGAATTTAGGGAATCGAAGGGGTGGACGTCATGTCGAGCAGGTGTTTTCGAACGTCTCGGCGTTTGATGTACTGCAACGTATGCGCTCGTGTCGCTGAAAGTTAATCTTAAAATGTCACTAACTCGTTTTCTTGTCTTTCTTATATAGCGCTTCCATTGACGGCCGCAGGACGTCCCTCTCTCTTTGGCAACGAGGTGGAGATCTATAGTGAAGAGCATATTGGTCTGTACGATCGCACCTTCAAGACACCGCATATTCATGGCCGCTGTTCCGTTACAACGCACCGCCTTTTCTTCACGGACGTAACGTGCACTCCCCCCGTGGCATTCTTTGTACCATTGGAGTGGATTGGCCGTATCGCGAAAGAAGCAGGTTTCTTGCAACGTTCGGCTAAAGTACGGATAGACGTCACGACCCGTACGCCACCTATGGCCACTTCTTTTTTCAAGTTATCGTTTAAAGACGGTGGACGTGACGATTTCTATACTCCACTGACAGCTTCGCTTAAACGAAAGGCATGGAAAGACACACAACCTAGTATTTTGGCTGATAGACGACTTGTGAAGAGACAGTTTAATGCCGCGGACGCTGGTATTGGAGGAATTATACGTCGTCAGCAGGAGGCGCAGAAAGAGACGACGGAATTGGCGGCAACGGCATTCTCCGATTTGGCAAACCTGATGGTAAAGGCCAGAGATATGGTTGATTTGATTGAACGATACGTGGATACGCAGAAAGCGGGCGAGTCGGCAGGAGAGGATGCTCAGACATCTAGAGAAGAAGATATCAATAAACTCAGCTCGCTGATGCTGGAGATGGGTATTACCAGTCCGGTCACGCGAGAGAATTCTGGTGCAGCATACTACGAGCAACTTGCACGACAGCTTGCGGAGTACCTTAGTGACCATATGCCACGGAACGGAGGGATAATGACTCTTTCGGATATCTATTGCATGTTTAATAGAGCACGCGGTGTGGAACTAGTATCTCCGGATGATCTGTACCATGCAGCACTGCTGCAAAAAAAGCTGAAACTCGGATATAGCATGCGCAACTTTCCCGGTGGACTCATTGTGCTACAAACAGACTCACATCAAGAAGGCATAGTAGCCGAACGGCTCGCAAAGATGGCGCAAAAATCCAGCTCCGGCTACATCACTTCGACTGACGTATCGGTGGAGATGCACACGTCGTTTCCATTAGCTTGGGAGTATCTGAAGGTATGCACGTAGCAAGTGTTTTTTTACTTTTATGTGTGACTTGCGAACGCTGATAGGCAAATTGGATATTTGTCTTTACAGGTAGCAGAGGGTCTTGGAAAGCTGTGCCGGGACGAAACATTTGAGGGTACCAACTTCTATCCCAACAAGTTTGACCAGTTTGTTCAAGACACTGAAGCTACGTTGACACTGTAGTAGGACTTTTGTGAAGTAGTGTGGGAAGGGTATCCGTATGAAAGATAGATGCAGCGAATATAGTGACCAAAGCTGGTGATAACTTATAGTTTCTGTGCTAGGCTTGCTTGCCTTGATATGTTGCGCATTTATATGCTGCTTAGACAAAATTGCTCGCTCACAACTGTAGATGATTTGCAGCTAACTCAATTTAATACTTATCTAGGTTGAGTGAGATGGGCTTTCGGCCGGATCGAAGAAACCAAAGGTAGGTAAGTTATCAATAGCTCTCCGCCATCCGATTGTTGTCCTCACTACATTGTCATGTGCAACATGTAACCTATCCACCTAGCTACAACATCACCCTTAACAACCTGGAACTCTAAGCTCTAGGGCTTTGCGTAGGTTACTACTTAAACCGTCCTCGAGACGCAAACTAGTTCCTCTTTTGCCGTCTGGATCCGCTTGTTCTTGATTGCCCCTCTACATAAACAGCTCTTGCGCTCTGATAAACAAAACGTCTCAGCAACTTCTTAACTAATGGCCACGAAAACTGCACTGACATGCGGATTTTGCGCGACGGCATTTCCGGCATTGTTGTACGCGCGGCCGCTTCGGACTCCTATCTTGACGCTCCGTATCATCGCGGCGATACGAAGTATCCGATCCGACACCGTACCCACGGTCATGGCGGTCATAGTCACCTCCTCGATTATCACTACGGTTGTAGCGATCGTAGTTGCGATCACGATTGCGACCACGGCCCTGGTCACGACCATAATCATTGTAACTCCCACGTCCTCGGTCTGCGCGATTGTCATCTCGTGAGCTCTCGCGCTTGCGTTTGCGATTTACACGGGCTTCTTCATCATCGTCCTTCATCTCGAGGCAGCGCTTGCAATACCGAGGGCTTGCACCACCGACGCACATCCCACGACAGCGGCCAAAGTTGGGCTTTTCGGTCGATTCAACCCGCTCTGGTCGTTTGTACCAACCTGGTGTGGTCTGAAAACGCTGTGCGACTCGATTGCAAATCACCTCCATGTAGTCATGGATAGCCTCTTTGGATACAAACCGTTCATACAGCTCATTGGCGCGAGCCGCAATCTGCTCGCACTTGTCATCATTTTCGCGGCACCACCGAATTTTTTCGGCCAAGTCTGAAAGATCGGCTTTGATCGGCACGTGGTCTTCAAATGGTTTGAGGACTGGGAAGTACCACATCTCATCGGCAACACAGCGCGACTCAACCTTCAAAATCACGCTACCCAGGCGCATCAAGAAGGCGTAACGGTTTGCAGCGCAGTGGCCTTCAACGTACAAAATGTACTTGAACTTGGACTGCTCGTAGATTGGGATGAAGTGTTGACGCCCGCCCTCAAAGATAAAATCCTCGTGGCGCAGAAACGTCATGGGCTTGCCAGCAATCTTCTTGTCGCGGAGATTCCATGTCGTTACCTCAGCATTCAGCAATGGTACCAATTCCTGGTTAGCGTTGTCTTCACCTGTCGCATCTTTCTCGGCCTCGCCATTCATTGCTGGATCCTTCTTCCATGTATTAGACAGATGTGCCAAGTGAAGACGCTGGTTGGTTTTAATAGTTGTACCACCACCAGTCGCGCTACCACGGAAGAATGCGGTGCCTACCTTGTCTCCCCAGGGTTTATAAAACTTCCGAAAGTTGTTGGCCGTGAACAAGTCACGCGCGCCTTCAATACCATGTCTCTTTCGGCCGTTGGCGCCCACATCACAAAAGCACTTCCAATCATTATCGCAATGCAATGGACTACGGCACGGACACTGGTCACAATGAGTATGTCGAAACGACTGTGGAAATACAAGACCTGTGGCTGCTTCCCAGTCTTCTGAACATGGAAATGGAATGTCTGCAAAGCGCTTCGACACGTAGAAGCTCATAATTGGAGCGTACGTTGCGTATAGATGTTCTGTAAGCGGGATATCTTCGTCCGGGTTGCGGTCGTCTTTGTCGAACAGGAATCCGTAAGGCTCAGTCAAATTTTCCTATTCGTTTGCAAAACTTGACGCATTAAATAAAGTAGCACTCGTTTTCACGGTAACCCTCACTAACCACGCACCTTCAAATGCGGATAGTCACGCTTGTTAATAAAGAACTCGCAGTCGGCAATGTTGCGGTGTTTGCACGCATCCTCTAGCATGTCTCGCAATTGAGTAAGAAATTGGTCTCCCCAGTATTGCGTCTCGTCCTCCTTATTACGATACCTACAATGTTCATTACAGATAATATTGCCATTGGCCCACCACTTGTTCACGTCAGGGATAATGTTCTCGCGTCGATAATAGCGTTGCTTTTCTCGATAATAGGAAAACATGCTGCCGTCCGAGCTGTCAAAAGTCACATTCTTTCCCCAGTTGTTCTCGTAGTCTTTGTTTGCGAACGGGGCAAAGATCACGACACGACGGCGACGAATCATCACAAAAATACCACAGCGCATGTGAAAGAACAAATAGTACAACGTATTGATTGTGGACTCGCGGTTTGTCTGCTGGTGAAAGGGCATGTTAACGCGATAATCCACGCCATCAGCTATAGGCAGCCCGTCGCCCTGCGCGAAGCGATTGTTTGCACTGACTTCAGGTGTAGACTCCGGTGGACACTTGATATCGTATTCCTTTATCTTGGGGAGAAGAATATCCGTGATCTGCTGCCAATCCACGAGCATAGAGAAAACATGCTGCAGTTTGGGAAAATCCGGGTTCGAGCCACGCCAGCAGTGCTTTCGAATAAAATCTTCACATTCCGCCTTGGTAGCAAACTTGGGTACACCGCCTGATGTCTCAGACATGACCACGCGACGCCATTCCGGATTTTCCTCGTCCTCAAAGGCGAAGATGCCACGTAGCATCGGCCGTTCGTCCATGGTGTGAATTGACTAATAGATGATGTGAAAAAAGGGGAACCAATGAAATACAGGTCAAGATTTGCTGCTCTAATTATCTCTAATCACGTTCGTTGAACTCTATTCGAATGGAGGCAGCTCTATTTATAAATTACCAGCTTGCCATGTATAAAAAACTGGACATCACTATATGTAATTCTGCATGAATTATAGGAAAAATACGATTACTTCGAAGACAATGGAGTTACTTACGCCTTAGTAAGGGGAAAAACAATACCTATACATGTATATCCAATGTGACTATATCAAGCTCTTTACGCACGTATTAAAGATGAATAACTTTACGGCAACATACGCTAATTATTGCCATTAACATCAGCTTCATGCACATGTTGAAAGCGCTGTAGTTCCTACTTTGTGCTTGCATTTATTTTCTGCACCAAGAAAAAATAGCAACAGAAATACAGAATCGATCTAAGGAGTCCGGCAGTTTATCTCCTCAAACGATGCACAATGACTTGCACAAATTCTAGGGGCTTCCTAGGGCGTCACTATGAATATATATGTACATTACGAATACATGTGCTACATCCATGGTCCTTCATAGCCATGGCATGGTCTTCCTGTAAAGATGCACTTGCTTTTGATCTAGCACCCCAGTACTGCAGGAGTAGCGGTGGAGTCGGTACAACACGATGACAATTGATAAACTTGCTCATATATTGTATAACGTCATGTCAAGCAACCGTGCCTTTTCTCACGCCTTGCATACCCGGTACAAAACTACCACATGTCAACGACAATCCCATAGTCGCGGCCTGTCTCTCGACAGTTTTATTTGGGAAGCTCCGTAAAAGTCGTTCATTTCTCTTCCGGCCGCCCAGCGATCGCACAACTTGTGCATTTATGAGCCCCCCAGAGCAGACCGAGTCAGCATCATCCAGCGTTGAAGACGTGATGAATGCCACACAGGAACAGGAACAAGATGACTCGCAACAAGACGACTCGCAACATGCACCGCTAGCGCACATGGACTCGTCCGACTTTAATGCGACGACCGACCGCGGTCCGGAGTCGACCGTTGGTGGCCGACCTCGATTTGCGTCCTCTGATTCCGTCAACCATTTTGGCTTTTTGCACCACAAAGACGAGGACATTTACGTGTTTGATGAGCCGCCGGAGGTACACGTGCTTCGCGGCCGTTGCGAAGAGTCCTGGCCTACGCGCTTTGTCGAGTACGACGTGGAGGTACGACACGATGGCATTGTATTGTAAAACTGCATTGAACAACGCTCATTTGTTGTGTGTGCTTTGTTTGATAATTAGTTAAAGTACAAGACCTTTCAGTGGAAGGTCGAGATTTCCAAGTCGTCGATTTCAAGCCTCTGGTTTCACATCAAAAGCCGTCCGCATTTGCGTCATGCATCGTCGTCTACGGTAGCGGACGATCATGGTGCTGGGTCATCGGGTGTACCGGAGGCTACGCTCACAGCCAGCGAGTTCCGGTGGCCGCCGCTCCGCAAACTCTTTTTGACATCTGGAGAAAAGTCCGTAAGTCCTGAGATGGTTGCGCTCGTGCAGCAGTTTCTGGATAAAGTCGTGAAGGTACCGCGGCTGCTACGATCACCGTTCGTGGCTGCATTGTTCCAGGTTAGCAATTCGACGTTTGACGAAGAAATGGGCAGAACTTCGATCCGGGAAGGTTGGTTGAAGACGCGCTTTTGGCTGAAAGGAAACCGTGAGAATGTTCGGATCAATCGAGCTTCCATGTCGTGTGATAATGAATGCTTCAACTGCATGTGCGTGGTGAAGCGCGTGAATTTTCGGGCAAAACGTTTACGCTGGGTCTCACTAAAGACTTCGAGTATCGCTATCTATGACTCGATTGAAGATACGGTTGCGCGCAATGCCTTTCTGTTTGATAACAAATTCAATATTGAACGTGGTCTTGCTACCACTGGTTCTAGCACGACGTTGTTGGTCTCCAACGCAACGTATGTGCTTCAAATGGAAGCAAAATCGAAACATGCGCTTAAAGTGTGGGCGAATGGAATTCGTCGGATGGCGGAGGCCTCGAGCTGGTCACAACTGCATCGCGATGGATCTTTTGCCATTCCACGAAACCCTGTACACATGACATCGTTTGCAAAATGGTATGTGGATGGCAGTGACGCGTATAAAGCTATATATCAAGGTATCCAGTCAGCCACGAAAGAGATCTTCATTGCCGGTTGGTGGGTCTGCCCGACCATCCATCTGTTGCGTCCCGCGGAGCAGTATCCTGAGTCGAGACTTGACCTTGTGCTGCAAAAGAAAGCGGAGGAGGGCGTGCAGGTGTACGTACTTATGTACAAGGAGATAGCGATGGCACTCACCCTGAACAGCTTGTACTCGAAGCAGGTTCTGAGCAAGTTGCATAAGAACGTTCACGTGCTCCGCGACCCCGATTTCCTGATGAAGCAGCTAGGCATGTGGTCGCATCATGAAAAGATCGTGAGCATTGATCAGAGAGTGAGTTTTGTGGGGGGCCTTGATCTCTGCTTTGGACGCTGGGATACCCACGGTCATGAACTATTTGACGAACCAGGAAAGCCAACGAATTTCTTGGGCAAGGATTTTTCGAATCCGCGCGTCAAGGACTTCGTTGAAGTCGACCATCCTGACGAGGATATGATCGACCGCAATGCTGAGCCACGCATGCCGTGGCACGATTGCCACTGTCGCCTAGAAGGTCAACCAGCTCGTGATGTAGCCCGCCACTTTGTTCAGCGTTGGAACTATTCCGTTTGTACTCGCAGGAAATCACGAAAGTTGCACCACCTTGTTCCAATGAAAGATTACCCGGTCACGAACATTGACAAACGTGGCCCGCAAAAGCTGACAAAGCGGCTTCAGAAGGCTGTACACGCGGTGCGAGCAATGCGCGGATTATCACGAGGTCGTGCGAATACTGATAATCGTGGGTTCAACAGCGGTCGACGGATGGCGCGCATGTTGAGCAATCAGAATGAATCGGGCAATATGCCTGTTATGCAAGACGATAACGCCGACGTAATTGTTGACCTGCCTGACGAGGATGACAATGATGAAGCCTTCGAGAGATGCCAGCAAGAAGTTGCTACCCGAGGATACCGTGTCAACACACAGATTCTACGCAGTTTGTCGCTATGGTCAGGAGGCGTGGCCACGGAACGCAGTATCCAAAATGCGTATATTCATCTCATTGGATCAGCTAAGCACTTCATTTACATTGAGAATCAGTTCTTTGTGTCAGGGCTGGAAGGAGATTACGGCTGTTCGAACCGTATCGCTAATGCTCTGGTGGACCGAATTGCGCGTGCGTCGGAAAACAACGAGAAATTCCGAGTTATTGTGGTTATGCCATTGTTGCCAGCTTTCCCTGGAAAACCTGATGACAATGATGCTAGTAGTCTGCGAGGTGTGATGCACTGGCAATACCGCACAATCTGTCGTGGCGAGCATTCGATGTACCAGCGTTTGTATCAAGAGCTGGAGGACGATGACCCGTTCAATTACATTGCGTTCTATGGACTTCGTAATCACTGCAACCGCGAAGATGCTCAAGCCCGGACCGAGGAGGTGTACATCCACAGCAAGGTGATGATTGTCGATGACCGATCCTGCATCATCGGCTCGGCTAACATTAATGAACGCAGCATGTGCGGCGACCGCGACTCTGAGATTGCCGTTCTTGTGGAAGATCATGAGATGGAGGAGTCGATCGCCATTGCTGATGGAGCGTACCGTGTGGGTAAATTTGGGCACTCTTTTCGCATGAAGCTGTTTGAGGAGCATTTTGGTGTGGAACCAGGCACGCCGCTTTATCAGAAGTACCAGGATCCTGTGGGGAAGGATGCATGGTTCTCCATGCAAGAACAGGCGATGAATAATCACCAGATCTACGACTCTGTGTTTGGCTGCTTGCCGTCCGACAATGTTACGACCTTCGCTCAGATCGATGCGCACATTCAGTCCGCGCAAGAACTTGATACATCAGGCCGCGGTGCAGAGGAGACGGTTGCCGAGGTGCTACGAAGCGGTGTTGGTATCTTGGATTCCATCAGCAACAACGAGGACAATGACCGAACGTCGTCGGTGAGCGGCACAGCCATGTCACCTCAGAACAGTGCGAAAGGGAACAGCTCACGGGGGCACAAGTCGGTGTTCAGCGGTGCTATGAATGTGAACATGAACGAGAGGTCGCACATTGCCCAGAAGAAGCACGAGCTAAGCAACGTGCAGGGCCACATCGTGTACTTCCCGCTCAAGTTCCTCATGGACGAGCAGCTGGAGCCTGCGCTGTTCCCGGCCGAACTCTTCCAGTAATGAGGCCGCCGCGTCCTCGTAGCCTAACGTTTCTTGAACTGACTGCGACATGCACGTGCTCCACTGAAGTAAGGGTGAGGATACGAGATAATGCTACTTTGAAAAGAATAATCAATTTGCAATCGACAGACCTGCTAACTGCTTCGGCTTCACTTTGCAATATCTAAATGCGAGTGCATTGCATTGTAGAGAGTTTAAGAAACGTTTACCACCTACTTGCTTTCATCAGGTCGCCGAGCGTAGCCTTATGTCACAGCAGAAAAAGTAAGGCACACCTGCTAGATACCAGCAACGCAGCTCCAAAATTTGACATGAATGTTTCTCTGCTGCTTGGCAACAGGTTAGATAGCTGCCAAGAATCCTTTATTCGCAACTATTACCGCAGCCTGCAGTTTTGCAAACAGAAACATTACTTCAGCGACATCAACTGCCCTTCCTTCGTTTGCGAGTAACAACTTCGTTTGCGAGTAACACCTCCGTTCGAATCGTTATCATCGACACGTCCACACTCTAAAGGCCCTATCGAGCCGGAAAAAACGTCGTCTGCCGTATATCTCACCTTGTATCCAGGTTTGGATCATCGCCCCATAAACCCAAAGCACGGCCCGACAAGTGAGTGCCATTAGTATGTTATCGCCATCAGCTCAATGTTTCTCGAACGTGGTTAGCAGGTCATACGCGTCGTACAAATTGAGACGCCTGGAGACTTAAGCAATTCCGGCGTCTTCAATACCTATAGTTTGTCAAAATGTTGCCTTCTTCATCATCGATCTTGATGTCTTTCGCAATCGCTCCAGTACTGTAACTGCAATCTTTATCACGAGCTGTCTTCTTCTTCGCATCATTCAGCACTTCTCGCAAAACCTCATCGAAATGTCAAAGCTGTGACGATTGCTGCGTCATCCGTTGCATCTTGTCTTCGAACTGCGCAACCTGTTTTTGCAATCAGTGGGTCCAAAGCAAAAGTAAGACGATCGACGGCGATTAAGTGCTGCAACAATTGTTGCATAATAGTGATGAATCAGCTGTTGGAGCAATGATTATGATGCCGATCTACATTCGCAAGCTTCTAAAACAGGACACAGTAATTACAACCGCATGGCCATGGCAACTATGACATCGTGTACACATCAGCGTGGAGAACGCAAAAGAGTTTAGCTACATTATTGTACTTGTACACCCCTTCAAGCGAGATCCGCTCAGGTGGGTCGACTTTCAACAAAATGGTTGGCTAGGGATCCACCAAACCTGTCAGTATAAATCAATAACACCCATCGTCATATCGATTTTCGTTACTGCTAGCTTAATCGTTTGTATCACCCATTTTTCCTAGAAAAGTATGCTCTTTTTCCACATTCATTCACAAAAATTTCATCATGCTGTGGTTAAAGTATATATTCGTTGAATCGTACGACATCGACACCTCATAGACACCAGACAAGAAATCGACCTGATCATAGCTTGCGAGTAAGTACCTGTGCGGCTTTCATCTTGCCTTGAAATTTTCATGAGAATTGTATCAGTGCGATTCAAAGTATCATTAATGATAACTACAGTCTGATCGGTGTCTCAAGCTCACTACTCCTACTTTCCCTTAACAGCTGTTATGATTGATAACCTGTCTAACCAATGATCCTTTTTGTTGATAATCTCTCTTGCTCAAAAGACCTCTTCAATAATCTTACAAACAAACAAATTTAAGTGTTAGAAATCACTGACGTATGCAACCCTACAGTGCCAAACCAGCCAATTGAGACATCACAACACAATTGTCGGCCAAGGTAGCGCTATCGTCGTCATACCTGAAGCTTCCTGCACGTTGCTTCACTTACTGTAAGCCAGTATTGACCCTATCATTTCATTCGGACGCGATGGGCTTAAAAGAGTGGTTGGGTTTATCGGCGTCGCAGTCCGTAGGGCACAGCGTTCGAGGCGATGAAACAAAGGAGGAGGAGCCCCTGGGCTTCGCACCTTCCTTGTCGCAGCAGCAACGACGGCGTCAGCGCCCACAGGATATCAACCGCCGTCACACGACATGGGAGGCACAGCAGGGACAGAGCCGCACGTCCACGTTTGTACCAACCCGCAGTGCCCCGCCCCAAAGTCAAGGTGTTTTCACTACCACGAGCTACCGAAAGCTGGACCGACGCTTCTCCTCCACGTCAATCGACGCGCAGAACGATAACGACACCATGTCCACTATGGTAACGGCGATGCAGTCGCCACCGCCTCATCTGCCCGATCTGGACTCAGAGGACTCGGATTTGTCCATCGGAGCAGATGACGACTTTGATCCGTCCCCATTACCATTTGTTGCAACGACACGAGCACAAATGACCACTGTGGCGGGTGCGTCGCCTGCCCCGCGACGCAATAGCGTCGAGAACTCTTTTCGTTTCTCGTGGATGAACGTGTTGGGCCAGTCTACAACCTCGGAGATGAATCAAAAAAGCGTTATGACACAAGTGGCAGAAGAAGAAGCAATCAAAGTAAAACGAAAAAATAATCACGATCCAGATGTGGCCCTTGGGCCCCAAGACGACGAGATGGGAGTGATTATGCAGGGATGGCTGCAAAAGTGCGGTCAGCAGTTTAAGACGTGGAATTGGCGCTTTTTCGTGCTGCGCAATGACGGCGTACTGTCTTATTACACCGACGAGACTCTCAAGAAGCTGAAGGGGTCCATGGATATCGGATGCAGTACCAAGGCGGATGTGTCGGTGCAATCCAACTCCATCGATAAGAAGTTTGTGTTCATGATTGCTACGCCACAGCGCAACCTCATGATCTCGGCGCCGTCGCAGTGCATGATGGCTAAGTGGATTGCTCAGCTTCATGCAGCTGGAGCCGTCCCCACTGAGCCGTGGGATCCGCTATGCAAGACTGTAAAGTTTTACGTGCGCGACACGGAGTGCAACCAAGAGTGGAAGCGCTATGATGATCCTACGTCGTATATCCACATGGAGGGTTGTTTACTCAAGCGTGGCCATGTTAACAAGAGCTGGAAGAACCGCTTCTTTCGGATTGAAAAAGGTGAGCTGAGGTACTACACGGAGAATCAGAGCGAGCTCAAGGGATCGGTGTCGCTAAAGGACACAATCGTTAGTCCTGGCATGGCGCAGTGCCCTGATGGGCGGAAGTACTACTTTGTGCTGACGTCCAAGGATGGCAAGTTTGAGATACACTTGAACGCGCACAATGAGAACTCAATGCATTTGTGGATCGAGGCGTTGCAAGAAGCGCAGACAGCATTAGGCAGGATGACTGGCAAGCAGGACACTGTGTCTGGTTTGTCTCTCGTGGTTAAGCGGGCAGAGGAGATCCCACTAGGCAAGATTGGTGTACTCTTCAAAAGGCCTGAAGATATTGACATTGAAATGCAAAAACGCACGGAGGCTCTCGTTGTGGCATCCAGTTCGAAGCATCGCGGTATCGCTATCGGTAGCCAGCTTATGTCTGTCGAAGGTCGTAGTATCCTTCGAAAGACGTACGCAGAGTCACGCCAGCTCTTGCGCGCGTCCTCCTTCCCTCTTCAGCTGGAGTTCCTGCTGCCACCGTGCAAGCGTGGTGTTCTGATCAAGAAGTCTCGTTCTGGCTTTGAAAACTGGAAGAAGCGAGTGGTCGTCGTTACAAACGGTGAGATTCACTACTTTAAACAAGTATCGTCATACAGCGTAGGCAAAAAGGTGGCGGCCGAGCTCAAGCATCGTAAATCCTTCTCGCTGTACGGCTGCTACCTGAACCTGATCCAGATCCCAGGACGTGATATGTGCATCGTGGTAGCGCGCTCGCCTTCGGACAAGCTGGTTTTGCAGACCCGCACAGAGGAGGAACGCATGGAGTGGGCCAGTGTCATTTACTGCAGCATCCGGATGGTATCACAGGGCATCACGTCGGGTCACATTGAGACGCTGCAGCTGGAACACTCGCGACTGTCGTCAAAGCTCATGCCCTCCGATCTCAAAGGTAATTTCAAAGACCAAGACCAACTCGAATTCTAGTTGGCTACACGCATTGGCTTTAGGTCCACTTTCGGTGCAAAAGTATCTATTCGTCATGTACTGTTGACTCATACAAATTTCAAGATTGTTTCTCATCATCTATAAGTAGAGTGCAAAGAATAACTGAACCTTGATGATCTCCTGTTTTACTTGAGCTAATTGACGGATTTCCATATAGTCATACCTAATTTCTGATTGGCCAATACTTATTCTCTCGCGCCCAGCGATCTTGAACACTAAAAAAATGTATCATAACAAAAATTAAGACCAGCAAAGTACTCACCTCAAAAAAAGTCGAAGATCCTATTTCTAGACTGGACGAGGTGCAATTTCATCCTCGAGAATACAAGTACTTAAAGGTGTTTTATACCCTAGATCTCGTCGTGCTCTCCTCGTTGTAAAGTACTAGAGTAGAGTAACGGCATACCAATGGCGGCGGCAGTAGCTGGTAAGAATTGGATGATTATTATTATGTAGAGGGTGGAAATAACCTCTTATGTGTGATAATATTGCAATACAGAAGACAATAGTCTATACCCAATCGCAATTCTCGTGGACGAGCTCAAACATGAAGACGTTCAGCTGCGTCTTAATTCAATCCGTCAGATCCGTATCATTGGTAATTCCCCTTTATCTCTCTTTATCTATGATACAGTGGAAAATTCTTTGGTTTAACGTAAAGCATCGGTTTTACTGACACTTTTAACAGCGGACGCACTAGGTTTTGAACGTACTCAGAATGAATTGCTGCCTTTTATGAATGGTACCACAATTTCTCGATTTATTATTAATTTTTAGCTAAGAATATCCGCTGACTCGCTCTTTTTAAACGGTTGTAGACTCGCTGGATGATGAAGACGAAGTGCTGCTGGTGATGGCTGAAGAGCTTGGAGACTTTGTGGGTGTGGTGGGCGGCCCCACTCACGCTTATTTGTTACTCAAGCCTTTGGAATCGCTTGCGACCGTGGACGAAGCCTCTGTTCGTGACATGGCCGTGCGCTCGATTTGTAAAGTTGTGGAGGCGATGGAATCTGAACACGTCGCTGAGCACTTTGTACCGGTACTGCGGCGACTTGTCACGCGCGACTGGTTCACGTCGCGCATTGCATCTTGTAGCCTTTTCCAGGTCGGCTACACGCGTCTTTTAGATGATATTCAGGCCGAGATGCGTGGTATGTTTGGTCAGCTCTGCCGTGACGACACACCGATGGTGCGCAAGGCTGCGTGTGCTGCCCTTGGTGGGTTTGCATCCGTGATGGACGGCCCTAGTGCCACCTCTGAGATGCTGCCGTTATTCTTAACACTAGCAACGGACCGGCAGGACTCGGTTCGGATACACACGATTGGCAACGCGGTGGCGCTGGCACGTCTGGTTCCGGCTGATGTGCTTCCGACGCAGGTCCTGCCGACCATTTTTGAGACGGCACGTGATGGCTCGTGGCGTGTGCGGTGGTCTGTTGCCAATCGATTTCCAGAGATCTGCGAAGCCTTGAATGCAGAGATCATCAACTCAACGTTCTGTGACTCTGCCGTCTTGTTGCTGGAGGATAACGAAGCTGAGGTGCGCACTGCGGCCACGTCAAAGATTCTTGGTGTCGTTCGACTTCTGCAGCCTCAACGAATCGTGGAAAGGATTGTGCCGTGTTTTCAACGTCTGGCGCGTGATATGTCAGACCACGTGCGCTCTGCTTTAGCTTCTGTGGTGATGAAGGTCGCTCCATTTTTGGGCCGAGATCTGACAATCGAGCACCTACTCCCTCTCTTCCTGCTTGTATGTGTTGGATTCCTTTAGCGTGGGTAATGTGTTGTGTTACTGACACATTGTTGTTTGTTGCAGTTGCTAAACGATGAAAACTCAGAAGTGCGTTTGAATGTTATCTCGAACCTGGAAGAGGGCAACACGGTAAGCGACGAAACGAATACTTTGTAAATAGATAACTTGTTGCGATCAAGGAGTCAGGGAGTTAGCTAATCGTTGTTGGTGAAAAGGTGATTGGAATTGAGCTGCTATCCCAGTCGCTCTTGCCTGCGATTGTGCATCTTGCGGAAGATCGCCAGTGGCGTATTCGTCTAGCGATTATAGAATATATTCCGCTGCTGGCTGCTCAGCTGGGACGTGACTACTTTGAAGAGCAGTTGGCGGAGCTGTGCATGGCGTGGCTGGTGGATAACGTATTTTCGATCCGGGAGGCGGCCACGATTAACTTGAAAAACTTGACGGAGCACTTTGGAGTGGACTGGGCGCGGACAAGTGTTGTACCACGAATCGTTGCCATGCATTCGAATGCTAATTTCTTGCATCGCCTCACATCTTTGTACGCGGTGAGGGTACTTGGTGGAGCCATGACCCCCGAATCGATTCAAACTCTTCTAATTCCTTTGGTTGTGGAGCTGGCACAGGTGAGGTCGCCGTGATGACGGGTATTGCTCTTGATAGTTGGTAAAACGAAAGGCTTACTGGTGACAATGCTGCTGTGTAGGATCCGGTTCCGAATATTCGCTTTAACGCGGCAAAAACACTGGAGGTGCTCAGCTTCAAAGTAGACGCGGACGCGTGCAAGAGTACTATAGTCCCATGTTTGACGGCGCAACTACAGGATAGCGACACTGATGTTGTCTTCTTTGCACAGCGAGCGCTTTCGACGCTCGACTAGTTTAGTTAGGTGTCGCCTACGCGCTGCGTGATACACTCAATCATACATCAAAGCAAAAGTACTGGCTAGTGCTATGTATTTAGGTTCAAGTGTGTAAGCGTTTGTCTCTCGAATCTTGTTACGTATAAGCATGGCGTTCCCGTAAGAGGTCATATAAAGTTTAAGCATCCCGACTTCCACAACGTTTCGAGTGAGTGGTCGCGCATTAGAAAGAGTAAACAAACACTTCGAGCGATCAAAATAGACTGAAAGTGGCATTTGAAAAACTTGTAGACACTAACGGGTTCCGATGAAAGATCAGCTAGATCTGAAACGTTCAAAGCTTGGAGAAGACAAGGCACAAATGTTGAGAAACCAGCGTAAATTATTCCAAGCTATGAAACTTTACGCATACCAGAATTGCTTCAGATGGTACAGCACAGCCAAATAGTGTCTGCACATGCAGCATCACGTTTGCATGATGTTACATTACGAGTATTGGATACAACTTGCTTTACACGTGTGCAGCTCCTATTTTCAAAAAGTATATGCCTTCCAACGTGAGGAAGCTACGAACAAGATCAGTAGATGAAAATAATCGATAGCATCGAGCACATAAAGCTCGTCGAAACACGTGTATTTGATAATAAATGCGCCTATTTTTATGTGAAAAGATGCTTTTCTAAAAGCAGCTCCATTTGATTGTTTGCTCAACGAGCCTTCAAAGTTCAAACGTAAGCGGCTCGTGCTGAAACACGACTAGCTCTTTTATTCGTTTGGCCCTAATTTGTAACGAAAATGACAACGTGTATATCTTAAAATATGCTATGCCTCATTTGAAAGTGGAGTTAAGCTGCTGTATCGGTAACAAATGCTTCTGTTACCGGTCACCTTACGTGGACGACGACGCCGCACGCCGCCGCTCATAATCAGGATCATCTGTGGGCAGCTCGAATCGACAAAGTGGACACGAGTTATGTTGCTTCAACCAAGGCAAGATACAGTCAGGGTGGAAAGAGTGCTCGCACGGTAGACGGTGGACCTCGTCATCTACCGCGAAGAAATCCTTGCAAACGGTACACTCCGCGCTCCCATCCACTTCATTCTGAGTAATTTTCACCTTCGGTAGCTGCTCCACGATTTCTTTAGCGGCTGGAGGAGCTCCATGCTGGCAAATTGTCAATACATCATAACACCTCACATTAGTTTTTATCGTGCGATCCTGGATCGATCAGTTTCTTACCCGATTCTGATCGTTTTGCATCAATTGGTTGATTACATTAGCCATGTTTCCAAACGCATAGTCGCCTGAGTTTCCTGTCAGCATAGGGAACATACCACCCAGAGCATTCAAAATTTCCAAGGGATCTCCGCCTTCTCCCAATTCACTGACGTAAACCTCAACAGGGTTCCCACTGCTGCTTATGAAGCGTGCACCGCGCCCATTCCCGGTAGCACCAGACAAAAACTGGAATAAACTATTCAACATCACAAGGTATCCAGCCTTAGTTCCCTTTTCTCTCGCAATGTACATAATCTGTAGCAAAAAAGAACTAACTCAGGCAATGGTCGTCCTTCATCTGCAGCTGGAAATCGCGCTGCTCGACCTGCTGGACTATTTTGCACACATTTTACAGTTTCAAAATACATTTTTTCCACTAAAAAGATACATGAAAACGATTCTACCGCGGTAAGGGCCGAGTGCCGCCAAATTCATTACGAATCTCAGTACGAGCGTCAACTTCTGTAGATGTTTCAGGTGTCTCCGACTGTGGGTGTGTCTCTTCCACTAAATCTGCTCGAAAATTCTGCGGTGGGTCGTCCTAATGAATGTAATAAATTAACAAGTTATTAAAAAAATGGTTACAAAAGGCACAATACGTCTGAGAAAATCGAGAAATTGAAGACGTCGGACCTCGTCGATCTCTTCCACAAAATTACCGCCGCACTGCGTACAACAGACCTCCTCACTGGCATCATCTAATCGTGCTTCCACGTTGACACTGCATTCGTGGCAAAAGAAACGTGGTGATTCCTGCTGAGCAGACGTTGGCGTCGGAGTCATAATTGCTTTCAACTGACTTGATAAAAAGACTTGCGATGATACAATCCCATTGGTGAGAAAATAAACGACGTCGGAAACAGCTTAACAGAAGGAGTACGTAATTAGTAGCAAGCATAGACATCTTTTTATCGTCACGATGGTGCCATAGCAAGACCTAAAAGCAGTTTGTGGTCCTTCGAATACCGCATCGTGTTCTGTAGTCACGGTGGGTGAAAAGCTCATACGAGTCAAAGGTTACCTGCCAGCGATAGCGCTCAGATATATAATGCACTGTCGAAATGCACGAGAAGGTGGACGAATGCTTGCAAGTTTGGTATACGCTCAAACGATCGATTCAACCCGCCGTCATGTTGTATACGTCTCGGTAGCTACGTTCTAACATCTCCCAAGATTCGCATCATATGGTGCATGCAAACAAATCAATAGTATTATTTTCTATCTCCTGCTCGGAATACTAACCCAAAGGCATGCAAACCTAGCGCCGGGCACGACGTTGAGCTCTTTGCTGAGCGCGTTGAACGTGCTGCGTTTTTTTTCGCTTGCGAATACGTTCCTCACGCAAGGCAGCTTCACGTTTCTGAACTCCTGTCTTCACCACAGCCTGTTCCTTCTTTTTGAATCGCTCCTTTAGTTTCTCTTCTGCCCGCTGCCACTTTGGCTTTTCCTTCCTGCGATCTTTATCATCACCATCGTCGACGCTAGCATCGTCAGAATCATCCGCTTTGCCCAGCAGCGCCTTCTCGTACTCCTCCTCCGTAATCTTGCCTTTTTTCAACTTCTTGTACGTCTTCTCTTCCTCTGCTAACTCGTCCCATTCCTCGACGATCTGCTGATGCAGACCCTTTTTCTTCTCACGACGACGAGGATGCTTTTGGTTCTCTTCCTCTAGCGGCCGTTTGCGCTTCTTCTCGCGCATCTCCGCATCTTTCTTATCGCGTGCTTCATTCTCCTTTGCAATGACTACTAGCTTCTTCTGGCGTTCTTTTTCACGGGCCTTGTCCTTAAATTTAATGTCAGCAGTCTTGATGTCAATCTTCTTAAAATTGATGCGCGCATTACGGAGCTCGTTAATTTTGGGTAGTTGAAGCAGACAAAATCCACGAGCCACAGCGCCCAAATCAAGCTCCTTGAAACGGAAGATGAACTGGCACTGGTGCTCCTTGTACGACCGCACAAAAGCCATAAAACCCTTCGTGCCCTTTTCAAGCAAATCACGGTCTTCCAGAATGAGCGACTTTACCCTGGGCAGAACATTCTCCATCGTATCTAGTGGAAGCTCCATCTCTTCACACGGTACCTTGCGAATTTTCAAAAAATTCACGTACGCATCTTCGTTCGAAGACAGGAAGGAGAGAGCGCAACCAGAGCGTCCAGCACGGGCTGTACGCCCCACACGATGCACGAAAAAGTTCGGGTCCTGCGGTGGGTCATATTGCACGATCCAGTCTACGTCAGGCAAATCAATTCCACGCGCAACGACATCCGTGCACACTAAAAGTCCAGAATCCAGCGTGGAGAAGTGGTCATAATTTGCTGTCCTCTTCTTCTGCGGCATCTTGCCGTGCAATGCCACAACCAGGAAGTCTTTTTTGCCCTTGAAAAGCTCTTCCAGCACACGGCCGAAGTAGTCTACAGATGCACACGTTGAGAAGAAGACAATGAGCTTTTCGCCCTTCTTGATCTGCACAAAGTGGTGCAGCGCTGACAATCTCTGATCATGGCCCACCAGGCAGAAGTAATTCTGCAGTGTTGCCGGTGTCACCTGCGTGTTGTTCGCCACTTGCACGGAGATTGTCGCCGGGTTTCGCAATCCAGCACGTGCGAGCGCCTTTACCTCTTGGGTTTGTGTGGCCGAAAACAACCCGGTACGTCTTTGCTTAGGCAGATGTTCCAGAATCTTGTTCAGACTCACTTCAAAGCCCATATCCAGTAGAGTGTCGGCTTCGTCCAAAATGAGCATTTCGAAATCGCGCGTCTCGACACTGGAGCCCACGCAGCGGTTCAGCAAGTCCTCCGTTCTGCCTGGTGTGCCAACGACCACCGAGCATTTGCCCACAGCTCCTTGAATCAGTGAAAAGTCCTCGTCCACACTCGTGCCACCCATGAACAGCAGCAACTGTACAGTGGGTAATGCACTTGCAAAAAACTTCTCGGCGCACTCAAAGATCTGACGTGCCAGCTCTCGCGTAGGTGAGACCACCATAGCCACAAGTTTGGTGAGGTTGGCGTGACGCGGCACCGTAATGCTTCCGTTCGCTAGCTTGGTCTTGAGCAGCTGTACAATAGGCAGTACGAAGGCCAAGGTCTTGCCGCTGCCTGTACACGCATCGACACACACGTCTTTGTTGGAGAGAAAAAGAGGAAGTGTAGCCGCCTGTACAGGCGTCATGTGCTCAAAGCCGAGTGCATCGGTCTCCGCCAGGATCTCGGCACACAGTGGCGGCTGGAAATCGTGGAACCGCATGACCAACAAATATCTACAAGTAGTATTTGCAGTATTTAAGTCGCAATAATTGTGCACCATTATATATATACAATACATTTTAAAACCAATTATTATAATTTTCTTTGTGCTCTACATTACTATTTTTAAAATAAAATTTCTTAAAACAATACAATAAATTAAGGGAGGCCTGTCCACCCCCTCATAAAATTGTGCTCTGATTTGTCAGAAAAGAGGGATGCAACAAATAATTTCATCGATTTTCGTGGTAATTGCGCCATGCATCGATCTTAAAACCGACGACAGATTGCGACGATTCTTGTCCCTCTTTCGTCGCTGTAGCGCATGAAGCAGGCCAGGCCGACGGCACTGAAGCTCTTGAAGTCGCTTCTATGGAATTATGGAGTGCTGTAGAGCGAGCTCGGCAAAGTATTTGTCCACCAAGCTAGTTGACACAACCACAGCAAACCCGACCCGTAAGATGATAGGTAAACAGCGTCGCTGCTGTACTCAGCCAAGATGTCTTTACTATTCAGTACAAAATTCTGATAAGCTTTTGTAGGATGACAGACTGGACAAGAGCAGTCTTTCATCTTCGCAGGTAAGATCATCACAACAACATAATTTATTGACCATTGCTGCGATACTGCCGACTTGTGAGGAAGAGGTTGCAAGTGAACAGCAATTTTTGTGCAATTGTTTGGGTGGTCTTGAATGTGGCTCTATTGTGTTGACATTCAGACTCAATTCATCGTTCAGCGCACGGCACCGACCTACGCTAATCCACAGGTAACACGCGCAATTTTTCTGAACCGCTTGCAGTGACACGACCTTTTTATGGATCGCGAAGCTTGGCAAGACGCTTGATGGCCTCTTCGATGGCCTCGTCAGTCTTGCAAAACGCGAAACGCGCCCACTGGCTGCCCTCCGCCTTATTTTCATGACAGAAGAACGCAGTGGTCGGGATTGCTGTCACGCCCTTGGTGATAGTAAGCCACCGGCAAAATGCCCAATCATGCGTCATGTTGGGCTGGACAAAATTTTCGGGCACCTTCACGGCAGAAATATCCGAGTACAGAAAGATGCCACCGCCAGGCGTGATCGGGACGATGCCCACATCCACCAGCGCACGAGTAAGACGGTCACGTTTTTGCTTGTACTGATCAGCAACGAAAGCGTAGAAGGTAGGATATTCCTTGTACGGCTTCTCTGCGAGCTCCAACATGTTTGCGACTGCCTCCTGTAATGGCGTCGCGACGCTAAACTGGATCCAGTTGTTGGCAAGACAGACGCCCTTGATCAGATTGCTAGGGCCAATAGCCCAGCCCACCTTCCAACCAGTCACCGAAAAGGTCTTTCCGGCGCTCGAGACAGTTAGCGTGCGCTCCCACATGTCATCCATGTTGGCAATCCGCACATGCTTCTTACCATCGAACACAATGTGTTCATACACTTCGTCTGAAATAATAAGTACGCGTGGGTACTGGCGCACATACTTGGCAACAAGTTCCAGTTCTTCCTCCGTAAACACCTTGCCCGTCGGATTGTGCGGGTTATTAAGGATTACGGCACGGGTCTTTGACGAAAAGGCCGCCGCCAGCGTTGGCTCGTCGACGTAAAATTCCTTGGCACCTGTTTGGTCGCTCACACGCACGGGTAGTGGCACAAAGCGACATATACCGCCTGCCATCTGCACCTGAGCAGAATAAATGTCGAAGGCCGGTTCGAACACGACCACTTCGTCTTCAGACTCTACGTACGAGTTGATGGCGGCGTAGATGGTCTCAGTTGCGCCAACACCCACTGCAACCTCATTGGCCCAGTTGATCTCGCGCTTCAGTTCCTTAGAATATTGCTTCGCCAGCACCTCCACAAGTTTCTTGTGGCCTTGAGGACGCGCATATTGGTTGAAATCAGCGTCGAGTGCATCCTTGGCCGCTTTTTTGACGAAATCCTCGCAGCGCCAGTCCGGAAACCCTTGTCCTAAATTGATCGCTTTGTGTTCCAAAGCCAGAGGAGTAAACTCGTGCCAGACCGTAGGCTGGTCGAAACCGTCGAGGCGCTTAGCGAGCTGCTCCGCCATGTTGCTGATTCAATGAATTTTGACCGGATGGATTCTGATCGTAGGAGCAAACCAATCAAAGTCTGTGTACCCGCAAATGATAGATCGGTACTTTGCAACATTAGTACCAACTCGATAACATAAAGATCTCTGCAGCATGAATTGAATCATTCAAGCTAGAGTAAAAAACAGTCGGTATTTTGCAGCAAGCGTATATTTCGAGCGCAGCATCATTCACATCTGCTCTTTCGGATATTTATTGAGAAATTCTGATTCCGTAAACTAGTGCGATACTGACGTTATGCCATACATGTGGAGTACTCAGCGTAGTTTGGCGGTGGCACCAGCCATGATGAATTCAGGTGCGGGAGGCAAATCGATTGCAAAGCGTGTTGACGCGTCGGCAGACGTCGTAATAGGAGGTTGAAGCTTTCCCCAGACTATTCGTTTAGAAACAGCATTGTAAGTTTTTGAGCCGTGGTACGGCGAATAGCTTCCACGTACAAAACTTTGCTACCTTTTACGTATTCATCGCTAAGTCTCCTGGCTCTAGACAGTATGACACTTCGATGAATATAGCACGTCTTGCTAAGTTGCATTCCGACTACACCAGAAGTCGAGGCCCGCTAAGATGAGTAACTACGGCTTCCGTTCGGCTTTTGCCTTCAATTAGCATACGATACTTCTTTTGGCGAAGCATCTCTGAGCGCTAAAATCTTGCTTTTAGCTACTATGAAGAATGAGATATGAAGAACTGCTTAACGTAGAAGTCTTCCAAGATTCTACAAGTTTCATAGTTACGACAACAGCGCCATCAACAATCGAGAAATTCAGATTGTCAGGCGTTCTCATGCATCTTATTGGCCTGTACAATTATAGATGATAACTTCGACTTGACTCCGACATAAAAAATGTTGCGGGTACGTGTTGTGTTTGCCAGACCAGTGAGAGGTTTGCCTTCCGCTGGGTGCCCGGCTGAATATGAGGCTAATATGTGCAATATATTTCCCGAGGCGTTTATAAATCGGGCTAATTGCATTTGCCCTTGTCGAGCAATCAATCAAAGGTTATTGCACTTGACAGTCTCAACTGTGTCCTACTCGAACTCGAGTGGAATAAGCTTGATGTCGCAGCCGTCCCGGTGGGGGCTCAACTCAATGACGGTGTTCTTATAGGCCTGCAAGTGTGGCACCTTAGCGGCCTCGCACCCAGCAAAATAGCCCATGAGACAGCGCAAAATAGACTCACTGCAGATCACCAGCACGTCACGCTTTTTGCGTTCAAACTCCACAATCAGGGAGCGCAGACGCGAGATCACGTCCACATAGCTCTCACCGCCCACACCAGGGTAACGATAGCGTAGCTTATCCTGCAGCCGCGCAGTATAGTGTTTCGGATAAAAGCGTTCGATCTCCTCATACGTGAGACCTTCAAAGTCACCGCCTCCCAGCTCGTTGAGCAGCGTGGTGGTCACGTAGCGCTTTAAGTTGCGGGTGGGTAGGTAGTTTGCCGTTTCTCTTGACCGCTTCATGGGACTTGTCCACACTTCCATTGGGCGCTCGAGCTCCAGCTTTTCTACAAAGCGCGCGATCGCATACGCCACCCGGTGTCCCTCCGACGCCAGCTCCGAGTCAAGCCCAAGGATACCCTTGCAACTTGTGACACTCGGTCCCGGGCGCACCAGCCAGATTCGACGCGGGACTAGGTGGATATTTTGAAGGAGCGACACGATGTGGCTTTGCAGAAAACCCTGGCAGTACCTCGCCTGAATCTTCTCGCCGGCATTGTACACCTTGACGTAGCACGCGTTGCCGCTATCCTCCGTGTCCTCAACGGTTTCATAGACCTTCTCGTACTCCTGTACACGCTGCCTGAAGTCAGCGAGGGCCACTTCGGGGTCCATATCCTTATAATCAGCATTCAAGAGCTTTCTGTAATGCGCACACGCATAAAGCACAGCACAGCAAGTCAGCTTTCGTCTGTCAGTAACTATTGTCCCGCATTGCAACGCACCGATGGTAGTTTACCTCAAGCAGCTCCTCGTTGTCGCAAATGCTCTCCACAAACATGACGCGAATATTGCGGTGTGAGCTCACCTTTTCTAGAATGTGTTGTCTGCATATTCACGCACACAAAACTCCAAATTAATTTCTCTCCATTCCATCTTCCACATTCCTATCTCGTTGTGAACCTGCGCAGCTTGGTCGTATTAGTCGCATCAAAGACAGCAACGTGTCCCTCGGTCTCGATCCACTCGAGGAGTTCATCCAGTGCATCCATAGCCATCTCCTCACGTAGTCGCGTGGCGTCCGAGTTATTGGCACTGAAAAAGGTGGAATCCTCTCCTGCCTTGCCTAATTTGCGCCGCAAATTACCGACATTAAACATGCGTGTGGGAAAACCCATCCACTCGATGTAGCGCAGTGCCTTGTGCACCACAAAACTTTTGCCACGAGCAGGCAATCCCACCATGACAAGCACGATCTTCTTCTGCGAGGCCATGAGGCCATCAGTGCTGCTTGTACCGTCGGCGCTTTCCTCGCTGCTGTCACCGTCCGAAGACATAGAAGCCTCCGCCCCCTTCTTCCACATCCACTGGGATTTACGGTCGTCGCCCAGACTGTTGAGGCGCTTGAGTCGCTGGTTAGCAAAGCGTCGATGCATAGTCTTTAGCACTAAGAGGCGCTTACGACCATCACGAATGGCATCCTGTAGCGTCTTACGGTAAAGAACCAGATGCAATGCCAAGGCCAGTGCGAGTGCAACGGACAAGCCGGTTTTACCGGGGTTCGGAAGACTCGGCAAATTGAGCTTCATGCAGTTGGTACGCGACTTATGTGACCAAATTTGTTAAATAAATTAATTGCACTATATTTTAGTGGAATGTAGCGAGGATTTAGAAACGTTAATAAATTACCATCAACGATTTTATATAATTTTCATTTATGTTATGCTCATTGTCATCTCCGACAAAAAAAGTGATGTACGGTCGACGCCGTAAATGATACAAGCTGAATTTTGTCACGGGCTGTAAAAAGTGTGCCGACGACGTGGCGAGATACTTTCGTTCCCCATGCATCAGCTGTAGCAACGAAATCAATTGCGTGACGTGACTACGAGAAGGATTTGGCAACTTGTATTGATCTGACGCCAACAAACAACACGTGTCCCTTTGATGACAAAAGGTTAACTGAAGAGATCGACGCTTCTCATGATACGCTTTTGAAGTGTATCTTCCGTGGTTGACGGACACTTCACCGCCACGACGACATTAAATTGCTGGATGCCGGTATTTTCGGCGCGAGTTGGCCGGTGGGTGGATGCATGGACCATGTAGCAACGACAGCTTTCTTCTCGTCAAAGTGGCGCGTGCAGTACTCACTTTTTGGCGTGTCAGTGCATTATAATGCAATGCTGCAGTCGTTCTCGGTCAAGGCGACATAATCGCACAGGGTGTTCACAGAGCTTTTGCTCAAGCATGACACTGACCAAGTCGTTGGCACACATTTTCTTGGCGAACGCGAATCGCTAAGGGTCACCATTATTATCGTGGACACCAGGCGTGTTGGCCGTAGGGAATACACGGCGTCACTTTACTAGCAGAAATCAACGGACGTCAAGCGGAACACATGTATGAACCTCTGCAACGGCAAGCCGAGAAATCAAGACAAACTAATTTTTATGAAGTTTTGACAACGCTCACGCGAGCAGATAATCTGCTGGAGCTCGAGTGAATGGCGTAACAAACGAAATATATGTATCGTGCTTTGTTAGCATAAAACGAGTACAACCCTTGCCTAACATGTATGCTTCTGCAGTATCGACGATCTAAAAGGCGCATTGAGCGGCCACGGGTTCACTGAATAAATGGTGTTTTTAAACGCGAAAGCATTCTGTTACGATACACGACTCGTACCATGCTTAAAAGCGCATTTCGTGAACACGATCATTCTTGGTCAGTGTGAACTTAGCGTTCAGGTATGCGAGCAGGTAGGACTCGTTCGCCAGTTTCTTCATCAGAAGGGCGTCCACCGTCTTCTGGTCCTTCTTGCGCTGCTCCGTAATCACAGCTGACGTCTGTGAATCACCAAATTCCACCGTCAGTTAATCAGATATAGGCACTTAAGCCGGTTATAAGCGCATTTTCAAAACTCTATCGCCGCTCGTTCGGGTTTCATAGAGACGTACATCAATGCACATGCCATCGTCAACGTACCGGCGTTTGTTGCGCCGCAAAGAAGCATTCTTCCTTGCTGCTCTTCTTGGTCTGCTTGTCTTTGACAAAGTAGCCATCGTCAATTTCTGGTAGTTCCACATCCGAAAGGTTCATACGCGTGGACGTAGCGATGACATAGGCCTGGTTCACACGTCGTAGCGGCACGCCGTTAACCTTGTACGGTCCTGTGATCAGTAGCGTGCCCGATTTCAGTTGTTTAAGAAAGACCACGCGCTTGCCACGAAAGCGTCCGGATAGCAGGATAAGGATGGTGCCGGGCGTTATGGACTTGCGGAGCTTGGCGGTCTTAATACTGTTGCGTTTTGTTTTGGCGGATGGCAGCGGCTTGGGAATAAAATCGGCCGGATACCACTTCTTGGTCGAGTGCTGAAGGACTTTCTCAGCCTTTACGTGGCTCTTGACAGAACTGTGGGCGAAGACACGGCCGTTAGTTTTAGCCAAACTATTGGCGGAGATGGCGTTGATGCCTCGTGCCAACTCGAAGTTGGTGCGCTTCGCGGGCTCTTGAACGCCCATATTGCACTAATCGGATACAGAAAGTGCAGTGCTGAAGTGATAGGAGAAAGCCATGGTTAGACGCACAAAAACTTGGACACTGGTGATGAGCTGGAAGCGGCATTCGCGTAGATGAAGACGGCATTACCACGTACCTGTAACCTTATAAAAGTAGTTTTGACCAATAGTTAGGTACCCCAGATAGCCAATAATACATTGCATAGCGACTTTTCACCACGGAAGACCCGATATTCAAAACTGAAGCACGCGGAACGAAGTTGGTTGACGACCTCTTTTTAGATGACATTTCTCAGCGTACCCTTAAGTAGTGAGAACAGTACGCGATAAGCATAAGCAAGGACATACTCAATACCGTGTGGATGCTTACGACCATTTTTAAACGTATGCACAGCATGTTGCGCTGGTCCTAACAAACAGCCCTCGATCAATAAACGGCGAAGGTCACAAGAAGAAAACGGCCAAACCCGGAGCAACCGGGTCCAGTACCTGCGCTTCGGTGCGAGCAATTTATGTTTGATTCGAAAAATTACGCCAAAACCCGGGTCCAGCTAATTAAAAGCAATATGTGCTCAAGGACGGTGCACTGAGGTGCGACAAGTGTTGAGGAAGCGGCCCTCCGACGAAATGACTAATCATCCGGGGATGGTGGAAGGCAATTTTGTAAGGACAGAAGGCTTCCTCTTTTTCTTCAAGCCATTTAAGATACCACGATATTGCTGCAACTTCACAGCACAATTTTGGCCCAGGTAGAAGGATAATTGCACTTCCGTCGAAGCGGGCAAAGTTCAATACCATCCAGCCGCGACGCACGAAGGCGCCTAAAGACAACATTCTGCTGGCAGAAAAAGTGTAAACAGACACTTTAAAAAATCTGCCACGTGCTATACAGACACATACCTTGGAGCAGCGTGAGGAAGCTCCGCGCGCGGTGGTGGTGGTCGTCGCCAATGCGCAGTACAAACCGTTGCCGGTCGCCAGTGATATGTGTGTCGAGTAAAGGGCAACTTGCATGGACAGTGGTCTTCGAATGATTTGGATTGAGTGATCAGTTTATGAGGGGATTTCCACATTCGTTTTAGTAGTAGTTTAACTCTTTATACCACTTTTCATTTGGCAGCACAGAAAAGTAGTTGAGCTTTCGTTACAGGTTATGATCCCAAATGCGTTGGCTCCTAATGACATCCTCACGGATGACAATTACTTCATGTGGGAATTTAATGCACGCATGACACTCGCACGCAAGGATCTTTTGGATCACGTTTTGATTAAGCCAGAGCCGGCAGTGCTGCGGGAGAATCCCGGATGGAAAGTCGCCGATATGAAGGCTCTGGCTGTACTGGTGAAGCTACTCTCTCCAACCTATCAGTGCATGGTTCGGGAATGTGAGTCTGCGTTTGAAGCTTGGAAGGTTCTGAAGACGTTCTTTGCGAAGAAAAATCTTCACAACCGAGTGCAACTTCGGAAAGAATTACATGAATTTGTGATGGAGACTGGTGCGAGTCTTATGGACCATCTACTAAAATTTGATGAGCTGTGTCTCAAGCTCGGAGCTGCCGGTGACAGCATGGATGATGATGAAAAGATAGTTTTGCTTTTGGGAAGTTTATTATTCGATTATGAAGATATGGTGCACATCATCGAGGCGCACAACAACGTGACGCTGTTGGACGCAAAAGAGATGCTCCGCAGGGGGTATGACATTCTTCAGAAGCAAGACAAAAAGGAAACGCTTTCAAGAAACATGCTCAATGTTATGAACCTCGACACTTTTAAGGTAACCGAGGACACCGTGGACAAAAAAGAAAATCGAGATCGCTTCCAACCTTCTAAGAAGATAAAAGGCTAATGCGAGTTTTCAAGGCAAATGCTTCGGGTGTGGACGGCACGGAAACAAAAGATCGCAATGTCGTAGCGTCAAACCATCGAGACCTGTTATTGAATTCGTTATTTGGGCATTCAGTGAAGAACGAATTAAGAGTTCAACTTGGTTGATGAGTAGTGGTTCAAGTCGTCATATGACTGACGACAAGCAAAAATTTGTGAAATACGAAGGTTCAAATACCCCAATTGTACATCACTGTGGCGAATGGACATCAGTAGAAGTAACAAGGAACAGGCACAATTCGATTTATACTCGAGAATAGTCGCACAGTCAAACCGACGGAGGTGTTACATGTGACTGGGCTGGACAAGAAACTTGTATCTGGAGCAGCGTTGACGGTCCGAGTCGTGCTTGATCACTTTAAGCGCGATAAAGCAGTTTTGATAAGTGACAACGTGATTGTAGAAGTGATCAATCGAGCGGGAAAGCTATCTTTCGTGGAATGTGAAACAGCATATTACATTAGAGCCACACAATGCTGAGAGCAGTACACAAGGCTGAGAGCAGTTGTGCGATAATATGACACTAGTGGCCATGGCACGCTCGCCTCGGTAATGTATATACGAATAGGATTGTGCAATATATGAAGTCTTGCGATGGTATTTCGAGAGTTGTTGCATTTGATGGCGGTGTATGTGATGAATGTGCACGCAGAAAAATGACAAACAGCCCGTTCAGTCATACTTCAGGAAGTGAAGCTAAAACAAGTCGACCACTTAAGGTTGTACACACCAACCTTATGGGACCTATGAGCCCGAAGTCGAAAGGTGGGGCTCTAAACGTACTCACATTTATCGACGACTACAGTCAATTTGTCTACGTTTACTTGCTAGCAGCAAAATCCCAAGTTTTTGAGCGATTTGAAGGCAATTCGTGCTATGGTGGAGACGCAAACGGATTGCAAGATTAAGTGCATCCGAAGTGACGACGGTGGGGAGTATACGAAACATCTCTTCAACAAGTACTTTGCATACCTAGTTATTATCCACCAAACGAGTGTGCCGTACAATTCTCACAAAACGGCTTGTCGAGATGGCCCGCTCAGTGATATATCACATGAAAGTTAATCGTTCTTGGTGAAGTGAGGCAATTATGGCGGCTGCATACACCATCAATCGAATTCTGGATACTGCGCAACTTAATGCTAGTCCATTCGAAAGTCTGTATGGGCCGAAGCCAGACTTAAGTCATTATCGTGTCTATGGTTCGAATTTATGAGTCGCAGATTGAAAGCGCACTAAATGAGAAAGCAAGGAAAACAAGTGCATTTTGCTTGGGTGTTTAGAAACATCAAAGGAGTACGAGTGTGGGATATGGCGAGAGGACAATTGGTCATGGCTAGTTCCGTTACGATAAACAAGATACCTCCTTCGCAATATAAATATGTTGTTGTTTTAAGTGACCTATTTCCCCATGCAAACATTTTCATGATGATTCAAACGAAGTAAAGGTGGGAGTACCTGATTCGAACAAGAATCAAGAGGATGACGATTTGAACGGTGATGAGACTGCTGACAGTGATAGTAGTTGGGAAGACATGGTTGTGGATGCGTCTGGAGGTCTTAATCAGTCACACAACTTAGATGTTGTTTCGATTGAGGGGAAGCGCACCGACATACAAGTCATTGACAAAAATTATATGACGATTAGTCGCACTCCACACGAAATGGTCGCTGAGAGTAGCAATAATGGTACACACATGATCTCAGGAATACCTGATCAGTCGCGAGCTATTGTGATTTGTGAGAATACCCGCCCCCCAGATGATCGAATGGAGATATACTCAGGGTCTAACAAAATGCTTTATAGTATCTTCACGCCATCTCGTCTACTCACGAATGATGGTTTTGACGATGAGAGGATGAATCTACCGCTTCTAACTGATGGATCGCCGGTGGATAGCGATCAAGATGAGCCGGACCCTAAACGTCAGTGTGTTGATGATTACGAAATCTCGCTTCTTGCTACTGAAGTCCGATGAAATTACGAGAGGCGTTACATTAAATGGACGAAAAAATATGGAATGCAGCAATTTAAGCAGAGATTATTGCTCATCTTAAGAACTACACATGGGACGCTGTCAAGGTGTCAAGGTCATTGGTCACATGTGGGTATGTGGGTACGAGTACGATTACACGGTGATATTGTTCGTTACATAGCGCGTTTAGCTGCCCTCAAATATCTGCAAACGCATGATTTTAATTACTTCGACACATATTCACTTGTTGCATGCTCAAATACGATTCGTGTGTTTTTGTCTGTTTGTTGCAGCATGCAATATTTAATCCGGTAATTTGACGTGGAAACAGCGTGTTAAAATGGTGATTTGAAGGAAGACGTTTACATAAAGGCACCCCATGGAGTTGAAATTGCACCTGGAAAGGTGTGCAAACTACGACGTAGCTTATATGGAACAAAACAAGCGGCTGCGGTTTGGCACAAGAAAATATGCTTTGTCTTTTCGGCCATGGGCTTCGAACAATGTCGAGCAGACACATGTCTTTTTGTTCGACGCAATAATGCAAAAAATAAACCACCCACATACACAGTCTTGTATGTGGGCGACCTCCTTATTGGATGCAAGTCAAATGCAGAGGCGGACGATTTCAAAGAAATGTCAGAGCATTTTATTGTCAAGTCAATTGGAGCTGCGCGGTTTAATTTGGGCATGGAAGTGAACTACTCACAGGAAAAGGGGGATTTGTGTAATAACAGTCTTAATTTATTATGAAATTGGTCTCGAAGTTTGAGCAAAATGGAGCTTATGCAGTTCGCAACCCTATATGCACAGGGACCTAAATCCGGATAAATTACCTTCAGTTGTTAAGGACATCACTTCGTTTCAAAATTTGGTCAGCTCGCTGTTGTATATTGCGAATACCACGCAACTTAACATACGCTACGCGATGTCAGTATTATCACAGTACTTGGACCAGCCACGACGAATACACTGGCTGCGGCTTTACGCGTTTAAAACTATCTCATGGAAACGAAATCAAACGGAATTACGCATAAGAGATCGGACGACAAAAAGATGATGCTTTGGGAAATAATTCACGTGAATCGGGATATGATAAGAAGACTTGTCAATTTATGTCTGGTGTGTTTTAACTCGAAGATGCAGTTGTCGTATAAAAAAGCTAACGCCAAAGTTAGGTAGCTTTATCCTCTGCTGAAGCGGAATATATGACACTGGCACTAGCTTATGAAAATTCGTTATTTGCTAAAGAGATGGGTGTCACGTGTAAGACTGCGACTACAGTGAACATGGACAACAAGTTGGCGATAAGTTTTGCGACAAATCAGGGATATACACCAAGATCTAAGCACATTGACCTTAAAATGCATTTTGTTCGAGATCAAATTGAACAAGGTGATATCCAGCTCAAATATGTTCCGTCAGCTATGCAACTTGCTGATTACCTGACGAAGCCACTTGGTGCTCCACAATTGATGCGACTACGCGACGAAAAAGGGATTCGCGAGAGTGCAAGTTGAAGAGAGTGAAGAGGATCACAGGTTACGAAATGTCGTGTAAAGGGCAACTTGCATAGACAGTGATCTTCGAATGATCTGGATTGAGTGATCAGTTAATGAGGGGATTTACACATTCGTTTTAGAAGTAGTTTAGCTCTTAATACTACTTTTCATTTGGCAGCACAGAGAAGTAGTTGAGCTTTCGTTACAGCTTTGAGCGAACCGCGCAATGAACTTCTAATACAAGAGCTCCATTTACGAAACGCAAAAGCTTATTCATCTTCTCGTGCTGACAATGTTTAGCAAATTGAAGACTGATTTATATTTAATAGACATGTTTAAAAACACATCTAACTACTGGTTGGTTAACAGGTGCCATCTCTATAGATGCGCATCCCGGCGTGCGAGCTTATATGTATTTATGCTCGCTTAATGGCGTAATTGACTGAGGTCATTTGATTAACATTAATGGGATGACGCCTAGTCCCAGTTGGGCGTCATCCCCACTAATGTTAATGCACCTAGTGTATATCACATACAAAAGGGTTTGACACATGGTGGTCTCACCGAAGCGACAGGTCTTATGTACTTACGTGCCTTTTAAGACCTACCCATTTAGTATCGCATACTTAACAGGTACGTGTAACTATTGGCCCGTTACACCATGCTCCTCTATTAAGAAGAATCTACATTTATGTAATTTATCGATAGCATGGAAATTCCACTAAAACGTAATTGTTGGGGCGCCTGCAAATGCGCCCATGCAGACCAGCACAAAGCGCACACCACCCGATAGCTCTCGCAGCCGTCGCTTAGTATCTCTGTGACAAGGCCGACATCTAATGTCAGCTTGTCAGCAGAGAACACTGATCCATACCACTATTGTGTGGATGAAGATATGTCTTTCATTGTAGATAACAATGAGACCGCGCAATCGCCATCACCTTGAAAGTGGTGATGAGCACAGTGCATTGATGAGACATATGTATTCATCACTTGAGGTACCCAACATTTCAAGAAACTTCCATGCTTCCTAACAGTGAGTATAATACCTTGTCGTCTGCGCCAACGAGCGCAGCAACCACAACTGAGCGCGCTGCTTCTAAAGAAACAGCCGTGGCTCAACAGCAGGTCGGCAATTCAAAATCGTCTGCTTTTGTTTACCCTACGTCTGACGTCTTGACAATATAATGGAGAGTCAGACTCAGGCGAGGGTGAGCAATAAATCCTTCAACTTCACAGTCGGCTTCACTAGCACGCCGTCGCTAGGGCGGCTACGTAAGTGATGGTTTGTCAGCAATGCCACCGGCATCCGAGTGGTCACGTTGAAGTGATATTATTGCGAAGATACTACTATTGACGCGAATAAACGTTTTAGCGTCAATAGTCAGGGCAAAGTACTGGGTCGTGCTTTCTCTATCCCCGTCGTGTTGAGTTATAACGAAAGATCCTACAATTACGAGGCAGAGTTCCTGCGCCGTGTTAGACCGCATGCAGATGCAGTGAAACAGCGGTCGCAGCAATCAGCTTCGCTATGACGCGTGCGAGGGAAATATTGTGTGATAAATTATCCCAAATTCTTCTCGTCACGCTACTCCTGCTAGTCCATCAGGACCTAGCAGAGCGGGTGCAGTTGGTGCTTCTGTTCGTAAGCAGCCACCAGCCCAGGCAAGTCAACGAGCAACGCGTCAACCGGTTTCCAAGAGTCGAAGATCTTCCGGTATTCTTTCCGGTGGACAAAAATCTGAAGCTTTTGCTTCACATGGCGGTGGACCAACAACCTTCCAACAAGGAAGCGTATTATCCCACCCGCATCCACCAACACAGGTGGATTTGATAGGAGCGGCGATTACGCCGAAGTATTCGCGGCTGCCTATCCTGTTGTCGTTCAGTCGCAGGCGGAGATCGCTGCTCTGAAGAGAGGGGTGGCTGATCATTCGAGTCAATTCTAGCGACTGACTTCGGATCCATGCGCTGTGAATGCAAGTGATCGTCAGGGGTATGACCGCCTGAAACTTCGTTTGGACCTATGGTGATGAAAGACCCGCTTCAAACGCGGAGTCCTCCATAATAAACGAGTTATCTGTCGGCTTCCTCGTATACGAAAAGTCGTCGCCTGATCGGCAACGACGCTCTACTCACATTCGATGTCACCATCGGTCTCGTTAGACTGATGCGGATATGTGATTCTTTGTGAATCCACATACCGTTTCAGGCGACCCACGTAAAATACAGGGTGCGTCTTCATATACGGTGGTAGAGTGAGCCTATAGTTTAGGTCTCCAACCTCCTCGACCATCGTAAATGGCCCAATGATTCGGGGCAATAGCTTAGTAGTATCACCAGGTAGTACATAAATTTCATGTTTAGGTAGGGTAGCAGTACTCAATAGCACTTTTTACCCTACACTAAAGTGTTCGTTGTTTTTGCGACCATGCTGGTCTGCATATTGTTTTTGCTTGTCCTGTGCGCTTGCCATTGCGCCACGGACTTTACGTGCGATGGCTAATCGCTCATTCACGAATCACTGAGCTTCGATCACGCTTTTAGCATCCACCTCGTCTATGAAACCTCCAAGAGGTCGGTCATAATTGACGCTGTTGACAACACGATAGTGTCATCTTCAAGGAGCACAGGCATTTCTTGCCGCGCCTCCTTATTGACACCTATAGGTGTCGTGACCACTACTAAATTAGCAGTGTCACTAGGGTAACTTTTCCTCTCTTTGGCATTCGCACCGAGCAAAATGAGGGGCCCTCCCCCACTAAGACGCACACGAGACTGGCGTCCGAGAATGGCGTAATCCTTTAATATATATAGTGTATCACCCGTACTGGCGTGAACACTGTAATTGTTAGCGAGATCCACGAAGAGCAAATGCTTTATCCATTCTTTAGGAGTCACTACTGTGTGCAATACACCTGCCAGGACGCTATTGGCTTGTTCCGTTTGGCCATCGGTATGGGGATGTTCGGCTGTTGATATGTGGAGCTTGCTTCCCAGAAAGTCAAACACATTACGCCAAAAAAACGACGTAGAACGCGGATCCCGGTCTGATACTATGGACTCGTGCATCCCGTGTAGTCAATATACATGATCTAGAAGAAGAGGTCATCCTCTTTTCTAGAGATCTTTGTGCTACATGGTGCCAAATGCGCCATCTTGATCAGTCTGTCTACAAAGACAACAACACCCGTCCTCCCTTTATGGTCAGGCGGTAAGCCAAACATAAAGTCCAAACTAACTGACTTCCAACAGTCCGTTGGAATCTATAAATAATAGGGCTAAAATAACCGTTACTAGCTAACACGCGCGCTTGATGAAGACTCAAGCCCAACAATTAGGTATTTAGTAAAATTTAGTAACTTTTTTGTTTTGATTTGGACTCATTACCAAGATTTTAAAGGTCGTAAATGTGTTCCCGCCTTTCGATAACCATCCAGATTTATTTTGATACATCATTGGTCCATATTGTATCTATAGGCATCAATAATAAACCAATAACAATTGCCACGCTGTGCCCGCTATTCGGGCGCAGCAATTGCATACAGACGTAATTGTATATTTCTGTTTGTGTGACATATGCATTGTGGCCACTACATTACTCCCTTTTTAAAACAGCACTCACCAGCCGTGTGTGCTTAACTTGTCGAAACTCCAACGCTCACAACTGAACCAAGCAATGGTCGACCACACGACTCCCAACACTGCAGCAGCACTTCCAAGCACCATCAGCGGTAGTGCAACTATCCACGTGATGAACCAACAACTCATCCTTTGGGCACTATATGACTTATCCGGAGCTCACGCTTCAGACTCACTGGAAACGATGCAGGACTACTTCCGGCGTTTTCGCTAACTGCGTGGAAAGAGTCTTGATGGAATCGGATACGAAGCCCTGCAACGTTCCTGGTGCGCATTCATCCGACGTTGGAAAATTGGATGCTCGAGGATGGTAGCAGCTTCCAGCAGTGTGCTCGCCAATCGAGAACACTTTCGCGCCGAATACTCGATCGGCGCGCTACGCGAAACGATGTGTGAGAATGCTTGCAATGAGGGCAGCCTCTGCTTTGTCCATGTCAACGAATGATGTCGCTCTTGTGACTCGATGCCACGTTCAACTCGTGACGAATGGCGACGACACATCTCTGAGTGTCCACTCAGCGAACGAAAACGAGGTTATATTGGGAAATACAAACGCAGTCTGAGCGAAAGGAGAAATGCACTTATTCGTGGTAGCAGCACCACTCATGACAGCGAAGTCGATCTCGGCTGAATGATCAGCGCAGGGCAGCGACAAGTTCGCCTGCCCGTCCTGCTGCGAGGATCTCGTCTCGTAGACGTAGTGATATATATTCACCACGAAGTTCTCGTTCTCGTTCACGTCATCGTTCTCGTTCTCGACGGCGTGGATCGCCTCACTGTTTTTGCTCAGCACGAGAACATTCACGCTCACGTTCGCATCGGAGTAGCCCGACTCCATGGACTCGTATGACCGAACAACATCTGGAAAGTCGAGAAGAAGCAAAGAAAGCGGTTCCACGTATCCTTCTCGTTTGAG